CTCTTTCCATCCTCTAAAGGTTAGCATGTCCCAGGGCTTGGTTCCCAGCCCTCTTCTCAGTCTTCACTAAGGGACACCATTCAGACCCATGCCTTCATCTACCATCTAAACACTGACAGCTCATAACTAGACATCTCAACACTTGATTTCTCACCCATGCTGCAGACTTGCTGCTACTGGATGTCTGGTAGGCATCTCAAATTCACAGTGGCCAAAACAGAACTCTTGATTTTCCCATTCATTTTTATTGAATGGCAAAACCAATTGTGCAGGTCAGAAACACAGGACTTAATCATTGATTAGTCTCTTCCCTCACCTCCCATACTGAATAAACCAGGAAGACTTTTCTGTTCTACCTCAAAATTATAGCCCCAATCTTATCAGTTCTCATTATCCTCACTCCCACCACCCTAATCCAAGGCTCTGTCATCTCTTGCCTAGACCAACGTGATATTCTCCTTACTGGTCTCCCTGCATTCACCATTGCTCCCCAACAGTCCAATCTCCCCCAAAATATTAAAGCAACTGTTTAAAAAGGTAAATCATATCACTCCCCTTCCCCCACATAAACCTGCCAATGGCTTCCACTGTAATTAGAAGAAAATCTAAACTCCTTTCCATGGCCTCTCAGACCCTACGTGATCTGGCACCTAATCACCTTTCATTTCATCTTGTCCCCTTCTCCCTCTTGATCACTCTGCTCCAGCTATGCCAGCTTGTTTTCTATTCCTCAAACTCAGGAAGCTCATTTCCTCCTCAGAGCCTTGGCAATTGCTGTGCCCTCTGCCTGGGCAGCTCTTCTTCCAGATCTAGGCATGACTGGCCCCTTCTCTTTTTCAGGTTTCAGCTCAAATGTCACCTCCTCAGAGAGGCCTTTCCTGACACCAGTAACCCTCTATCACATCACCCTGTTCCATTTTATTCTGCATAGCACTTATTCTAATTGACTGTTTACTGTCCCTGTCCTCCATTAGCATTTACAGTTCTTGAGAGTTGAAACCTGGTCTCTCTCATCCACAAATCCCCAGTCCAGAAACAGTGCTGGCAAAGCACCCACTAGACATGAGGTCAACACTTTTTCTCTGGAAATGGCCAGATAGTAAATATTTTAGGCTTTGCCAGCCATACGGTCTTTGTCGGAACTACTCACCTCTGCCACTGTAGCCTGAAAGCAGCCATGGAGAATGAGTAAATGTATGGGCGTGGCTGTGTTCCAATAAAACTTGATTTACAAATAAATAAGCATCAGGCCAAATTTGGCCTGAGGGCCATAGTCTTTTGGTATCACTGTCATATGTGGACAGTTCTTTGCCACTATAATTACTTATTCAACAAATGCACGCTGAATGTCAATCATCACTTAGGTGAAGGATCCTTGCAACTGCGCAAGGAAGCAGCATTCCTAGCAGGCAGCAAAATGTTCTTTCTCCATATTCCTACCTACCCAAGCCCACGAAAAGGAAGCAAGAGAGGCACATCCCAAGTCTGATCACTCAGTGGCTGTTAGCCACCTCCCCTCTCCGCTTGAAGAGCAGTAACAGGATGAAAATGCAGCAGCTTTCGCCTTTTTTCCTCTTGCCAACCACCTCCCCTGCAAGGACTAGGCAGGGAGGGGCAGCTGTCAGTCTCCAGAGGCATGGATTCTGCACAGATTTAGGGACCACTTGTTCCAATGCCTTCATCATATTTTACAGAATCTCTCATTTCCAAAAAGCAAATGCAAGAAGGGCCACTGTCCCATCCACACAGTGAAACATACACTCATCTGGATGGATATGTATATCAGCGGCGTCTTAAACAACCCCAGGTGTATGATACAGCATGAAAAAGTGTAATTAGAATGTTCGTAATCCAACCAAAACCCCACTGGTGTTATTACGAAGCACAAGCACTAGCTTCCACTGAAGAGGAGGAATGAAAGACACATATCGTATCTTCCCTACCCCACCAAGTTCCGGGGCTGGAAAGTAAGGAATCCCCTGGCCCGAGCACACAGTAGGCCCACCGTAAATTACTTTCTCCCCTCTTCTGGGCATGTTAAAAGGTCTTCGCCATTTTGTAAGTGAAAAGATAAAGCCAAACATGGCGGCTGACTTTAACCAGGCCTTGTCAAGTTTTTGAAGGAAGGGAGATGACTTCAATTGATTTTGCCCACCTGGGACCACTTGTTTCTCTGGGGACAACAGCACCCCCGTCACAGGAGCTGCCCTCACTCCCCTGGACATGGGCATGGCTCATGTCTGGCTAGAACCTCGTGAGTCTGTAAAGTTTGCCCACCAGTCCTTTACCTTCCCCAGGTTGACACACCAGTGCTGTGAGATGGAAGTTCTCTTTCTACTGGGCATCCAAACTCGGATGACGAAAAGCCTGACGCTGCCAGGTGATCGTCTTCCACAGCAGCAGACCAAATCAGCAAAGGACAAAGCCAGTTTTCCAAACCTCCACTATGTGGGTACACGCCCGGCACCTACCCCACCCTGCCTCTGGCAGAACACTGGCTGAGCTTAACAGTCCTGGCCTTGGTTTAAAGTTCATATCTGTTTCTAGCAAATTGGTTTTTCAGAAAATTGGTCACTCAGAGAACTTGCATAGAGCCTCCTTGGAGGAAAGAACGAGACCAACACACAGAGGGTAGCAGAGCCAGGAGATGGGGGCAGAACCCCTGATCCAACCAAAAAACCAACCAGTTGCCATTGAGCCAATTCTGACTCGTGGCGACTCCATGCATTAGGGTAGAACTGCTCATAGGGTTTTCTTGGCTGTAATGTTATGGAAGTAGATTGTCAGGGCTTTCTTCTGAAAGGTTGGGTTCAAACCACCAACCTTTAGGTTAGCAGTCAAGCACAAACCATGCACTACCCAGGGACCATATAAAGCCAGATACTCTAGGATTTCTCAATTATGTGATCAGTGAAATGTCTCTTTTTGCTTAAGCTGGTTAGAGTTTGGTTTCTGTTACTTGACACCAAAAGAGCCTTGACTAATACAGAAACAGAAGTGTGTCGATTTGCTGGGAGTCCTTCAGTCATTGTCCATTCATGCAACAGATGTTTATTGAGCATTGTTTCAATTATCTAATGCTGTGTAACAAGCCACCCCAAAACTTAGAGGCCTAATACAATCATTGGCATGCTCATGCATCTGTGGATTGGGAGTGTGGGATGAGCTCAGCCGTGCAGTACTCACTTGGGGTCTCTCAGTGGTAGCAGTCAGATGTCAGCTGGGACTGTAATCATCCAAAGGCTCGACCGGGGCGGAAGGATCCACTTCCCAGGGGGCTCGCTCACATGGCTGGCAAACTGGGCTGGCTGTTGGCCAGGGGCCTCAATACCTCTCCATGGCAAGGCGGCTGTCTTCCCTCACAGTAAAAGTGGAAAGTGCGATGTCTTTTACAAATGACCCTAAGAAGCCACATATCATCACTTCTGCCATAGTCTATTGGTTGTATAGGGCCAGCACTGGTTCAACATGGGAGGGGACTACACAAGGGCAGTGTGGATCAGTAGGGGCCATCTTGAAACTGGCTACCCACCACAAGCACTCACCATGTACTTGGGACTGGAAATCCAGATGAGTTAAGACCCAGTCCTCACTCACAATGAGCACTCAACCTGGACTGCAGCCAGACAAACTGTCCCCCAAATCCCTCATAACTCTTGTTTTAGGGTGGCTCCAGCTTTTAAGGAAAGGAAAATCTTGCTATTAAGGAAAGGGAAATCTTGCTATTAAGGAACTGGGTTTACGTAGTTAAATATGTAACTCTCTGGTTCCAGAAATGATGCTGCCAGAAGAATTAAGAGGCCCTCCATCATCAGCATCCCTCCCATGACCCCAACCCTCTGCTGCACACATCGCTACATGTCACCGTGCCTCTACTAACTTTATTACAGTTTATGCCTGCATCACCTTCACACAACACCCACTTTTTAAACCTCATTTTAATCTTCCAAGGATATCCCAAACCTCAAAATACCCACTCTAATGGGTAAAATCGTGCAAGTAAGTGATGGGGTTCTTCTTGTAGAACACACCATTTTACACAGTTATTATTTTTAATCCACCGGATGGGGGTAGGGTAGGGGGGAACCTGTCTCATGTAACTTGCCCTAATCAAAATCCTTTAACATTAACTTATCTATCACAGAAGGCTCAGAGGATTTCTCCTGACATTGCCAGAAAATAAAGAAAATGATATACTACAGAATAGGCCCAACTTTTGAACAGATCAAGAAAGATCACATCAGCTTTTTTCTGGGAACAGAGCCCTTTAGAAGTTCCACCAATGTCAAAGGTGATCTGTGGCCAGCTGTGGGGGAAGACTGCCACTTAATGGCAGCATCCGGAACTGGACGGAAGGTACTGACATTTAGTTGTATCTTTCACAAGCTCTTAACCTTTACACTGTGTCAATAAAAAGGCCCATTAACATTTAAAAGGGATGTTTCTGGCTGTCTACTTGGAATAAGAGTTAGAAAACACTCCAAGAAATGGATTAGGTACTACATCTGTCCCAGATTTCCAACAGAGTTCAGTTCCTTCCACAGTAAAAAAACAAACCAACGTCCATCAACAGATGAGTGGACGAACAAAATCTGGTATATACACACAATGGAATACTACTAAGCCATAAAGAGAAATGAAGTCCGGATGCATGCCATAGCATGGATGAACGTTGAAAATATCATGCTGAGCAAAGTCAGTCAGCCACAAAAGGACAAATACTGTCATGATCTTGCTTATATGAAATAAGCAAATATATAGAAACCAAAGATTATTAGTGCTTACCAAGGGTAAGGAGGGGGAAAGAGAAGTTTTTGGTTAGGGGGCATTGAGTTCATGTTAACGGTCGTAGAATTATTTGGAAAAGGATAGCAAGAATGGTTGCACAACTTGAATGTAATCAATGTCACTGAATTGTACATATAGAACTGCCGAGTTGGAGTATGTTTTGTTATGTATATTTTCACCACAATTTAAAAAAAAAAAAAGTAAAGCACTAAAAAAAAAAAAAAGACGACAGTCAGTGTAATGGTCAACAATGCAGCAGCTGCTAGCTGGAAACAGCAGCTCTTCGGGTGGCCACCAAGAGCCAGGAAATCCTTCAAGCTCACCATCTGCCCTGGTAGTAACATCCTTCTGCCTTATTTTTCCACTCTATTCTTTGTTCTTCCAGACCCAGCTCAAGCATCACATTCAGGAGGCATCACCAAGTCCTCAGACCAGATTAGACCTCTGCTCTGTGCTCCCATGACCCCTTGAGCTTCCTTCACCAAGATCCCTAAGCTCATTATACTCTGGTCTGCTTACTGGTGTCTTCCACTTGACAATGGGTTGTGCACTCTGTGGTGCCCATCTATTCACTGATGCATGCATCCATTCATTCCTATCTGAATGCCCACTGCATGCCAAGCACTGGGGATACAATGAGGAACAAAGCAGATGTCGTCCCTGTCCTCTTTAAACTGTTTATAGTATCGCCTGTTCTACTTGGCTTCAAATCCCCAGTGTCTGTCCTATGTGGTAGTTGGTAAATGCTGAATGGATGGATGTTTCCCCTGCTTCAAGATAAGTAACTTACTTCCTACAAGAATTAAGTTAATGCTGTTAGTATGCTGTGAATTCCTGTGCATCCCTTTTGCAAAGTGACATCCTTCAAGCCTCACCCATCCTACATATATGTTTTGTTTGGCCAAAAGCGTGTTGTTTTTTAAAAATTTTTTATTCGTTGCTAACATTTAAAACTTGGAAGATTTCATACAAAACTTTCTGATTGCTCTCAAAATAGACACACATTCCTACAGGGCAAGAGTGGGCTGGAACTGAGGAACTGTGAGCTCCATTAGATGGGGTCGACACTCTTCAATTTGCCACAATCCCCCAGCCCTTATTGTCCTATTACTGAAATCGAACCACAGCTGCAATTTATCATCTCACTTGTGCCAACACTTTTCTTCTCCCAGCCCACTTCACTCAGGACTCCTACCTGCCCCATAGGCATCTCAATCTGCGACCCCAGCACTATGCCAATGTCACAAGAAATACATCTGAGATGAGCTAAAACACAAATAAGTAAGCAATTTTATTGGGTTTTTTTTTAATCTCCTAACATACCATCCTAATCATGGATACAGGCTGCTGCAGTTTCCAGCAAGGCTTCCAAATGCAAAGGCAAGTGACGGAAAAAGGTAAATTCAAAAGGTACTTTATTATGGAACAAGAAACCATGTTTACTGGAATTCTTCTTGCAAATGAACGCTGAAGATTAAGAATTACATTTTCATATCACCAACAGAGCTTAAAATACTTCTTTGACCAAAAAAATAATAATAAATTATCTTCAATTCAGAAAATAAATTGCATTAACCAAAATGACAGGAGGGTCCAATCATCCCATTGCCTCAGGGGCCATCTATACGGGAGAACAGGCACAGGCAGCTACGATCACAGTGAAAACACAGCGCATGCCTGAAGTTACTCAAACGCGTGCCTTCACACCCCTTGCTGTGGCCTGTCCCAAGCGAAATTTCAACTGGCCCCTTTCCTCCTCACGTCCGCCTTGTCTTCTGTTTCTTGGCCTGTCTTTTTGCATCTTCTGGGCCGCTGTTGTCAGAGACTGTCTGACCAAGAGCACGGACTCCCTGCAGTCGACTTGTCAACTGCAACAGCAAAGGAATGAGCTAGAAAAAGAGAGAGAGTATGTGAGAGAGAGAGAGAGATGCCAGGAGATGACTTCTGTCCAGATGGACATTTCTGTGTCTCACATATCAGCACAACTCCCTTCTTCTGGCGTGGTCACCCCCAGTGTGATAATGGGTGGATTTCAGGTCATAATAAAGCACGCCTTTGTACTAGAAAGGGCTCACTGGAAATAGGCTGGGATATCTCAGTGAACAACACATCTCTAGAAGTATTCCAGGTTTAAAAACTAGGAGAGATGTTACAGTCTGGAGACATCTAGGGACTGGATCTGATGCCTGGAATCACCTTACAAAAAGCAATCTGGCCTTTTGGTCCTGATTTCTGAGATCCCGGAGGATTTGTTACTTTTTCCCAGGTTGGCTGGGGAGGCCCCTCCCCGAGTAATGCACAAGGACTGCTTATATAAAGGACTGAAACACAGAGGTTTTGGGGGGAATTCTTGGCTGAGAGATGAGAAGGGTGACGCGTCTTAGGACACAGAAGTCTTGCAACAGAAGCCCTCCCAGACCTGGGTAAAAGAGCTATCATAGGCTTAGAGCTGCGTAAAGTGGCAGTGGTTGCAACGACGCCAGAAGCTGTGGAGACGATGAGCAGGCCCGGGTAGCAGCAGCAGCAGAGTGAAAAGGCCGAACCCAGGCTGAGGGCATTTCTGCTCCAAGGGCTGTCCTGCCAAGAGCTTCCTCACAAGGAGTCAGCTGGAGTGGAGCGGCTGCCCAGAGAGCAAGGGACTACCCAGAGCTGGAGCTCCTTGAGCAGGGGGTGCCCTTAGAGAGCAGTGGTGCTTCAAGAGCTAACGTGATGCCAGCCTAAAGCAGCTAGGGCCATCCGAGAGCTGTCCTAGAGGCTTCCCTGGCCGAAGAATCTCCTGGTGGATGAAGGGAGAGACGTGCTCTCTGCTTTGGGGATCTTTCCAGGCCTTTCCTGTGTGCCTCATCCTGAGTTATATCCTGATGATCCTGACGTTAATCCTCAATCGCATCCAAATTGTACCATTAGTTCTGTGTTGTTACCGTGAGTACAGTCTGTGAGTTGTGTGTGACCACTGCAGCAAATTATCAAGCCCAGCAGTGAAACAGACAGTGCCATGGGGGGAGCAGCTGATGTCAAAAATAGTGGCGAAGTGGGAAACCAGTGATAAACTTGACCTCTGCCTCATAGGAACCACCTTTATGCTATTTCTTCTTAGCAATAGTATCTTATGAGATAGATAATAGTGACTATCCCTCAGATTATGGTCACAGTTATCTTTAGGCAATGCCTTCACGGTCCTTTCCAACTCTAAAATTCTGTAATTTCTGGAAACAATCCAAGTGTCCATCAACAGATGAATGGATAAACAAAATGTGGTCTATCCAAACATGGAATATCATTCAGCCATGAAAAGGAATGAAGTCCTAACACATGCTACAACATGGATGAACCTGGAAAACATTATGCTCAGTGAAAGAAGCCAAACACAAAAGGACAAATATTGTATTGGTTTTACTTATAGGAAATATCTAGAATAGATAAATTCATAGATATAGAAAGTAGATTAGATATTACCAGGTTCACAGGGGAGGATGGGGGGATGAAGTGGGTACAGAGTTTCTGTTTTGGGTAATGAAAACATTTGGAAATGGATAGTGGTGACAGTAGCCCAACATTGTGAATATAATTAATGCCACTGAAACATACACTTAAAAATGGTTAAAACGGCAAGTTTTATGTTATATGTATTTGACCATAATAAATTTTTACTCGTGTAAATTCTATGACACTGGCCATTCTTCAGCTGCCACTTCCACAACTGTGAGGAATCACTCCCTGACACATCCTGCTTTCTCGTGAGGTCTCTGAATTTCCTACCTTATCATGGTTGTAACCAGCCAACAGAACAAGCAACGTCAAAGGCAGGGCAATGTATGATCCCTGGGCAATGTCTTGTTCAGGCAGTTTCCTCTGCAAATACCAAAAGCACCGTTAATTCTCAATCACTTCTCACATTTTTCTAGCATCCATTATTATACAGCAATGATCCACCCAGCCTTCCAAACTGGCCACCCAAAGACATTCAGGTATACTGTGCAATTCAAACTCTACCCAAAGTAAGGAACTGACAATTTGGACAGACTTTTAGACGAATTATCTGCTATCCAAGCTCTCACTTCCTCACATCTGAAACTCAGGAACAAATACATTCCAATGACAAGGTGTACCTCACTGTGAATCTGCACTATTCAATCTGAGGAACAAAGAGACCTGCATAGCAGGGAATCTTGGTGGCTGAAAAGTAATATGGGTCTCATTTTACTGAGTTCCCGATATATTCAGGGACATTTTCCTATAAGGATGCATGGAGTACCCACTGTTCTCGGCACTGGATATATGGTGATGAATAAGATAGTCTCAGAGATTACAGTTTTAAACAGCATCCTCCAACCAAGACCTGCAGGCCAGAGCCCAGGCTGCACAGCCTTCCCTGCTTTCACCACCTCCATCTATTTTTAAACTCCCTGTTGTACTTACCGTGGGATTAAAAATCAAAGTGATATGTTTATGGTAGCCAACGGCAGTAAAAGAGACTTGAGGCAAGACATAGTCGTACTGGGATTTGGGGAGCGTGGAGTCCAGAAGCACAACATAATTCTGTGCTCAAATTAAAAAAAAGTATTTTTAGAAAGGACAGGTTTGGCAAAACAAATAAAAACTAGAATCTAACACATGGCTGTAATGTAAAGGACTTGTTTTTTTTTTTTTTTTTAAAGAAATCCCCGTGTGCACATATCCAAGCCAAGGCTGCCAACTTCAAAGCAGTAACCTAGCGGGCCTATGCTATCAGTGACAGCAGTGTCCCCATGTTTCCAAGACTCTTCTGACAAGGCTTCCAGAGCTGCGGCACTTTTTTATGAGTGCAGTCAACCATGACAATTATGGGTATTTGAGGATCTGATTTTATGAAACATAAGAAGTTAAGATAAGCTAATTATGATAATTGAGGTAGATGTTCAAACTGAGCAAGACTGCTTTCGATCCAAAATGTGGTTGATTTTTAAGGGACAATACTTAAGTGGCGTGTAATCTGGCAAGTTATGAAAATACGGCATCTTAACATGATACCAGTGACAGTCACCTCCCTGTGTGCTGTGCCCATGACTGCTCTGCTTTCCACCCTGACAAGATTGGTATGGTTACCCCCATTTTACAGATGGGGAGAGTGAAGCTTGAAGAAGGTAAGAGTAACTGGCCCAGGGTCACTCAGCTATTAAGGCGGCTGAGCAGGGTCTGATCAGGTTAAGTCTGACCCTGAAACTGAAGCTATTTCCACAGTGCTTTGGTGCCTCTTTTGAGCAACTGCTCTAAAGGGTGCAGAAAACTGCTTCCTAAAATGACTTTCCAAGGGAAATATCCCCTGGAGAAATGAGGCCCCCAAAATTCCATCACAACCTGTTTCATTATTTTACAGTCATTTCACACAGAGAAAGGCCATAGTACACCACCCCCGTGGCAGGTGGTGAAAGGCCAAGAGAGGGAACCCTCAGGTTAAGTCCACTAGTGAAAATAACCAAATGCTTTGCAGTCTGTTCCCATCACACCAACTACAATAGTTTGCTCTGTCCAATTAGAATTGATAATAAGCATTTTATAATCAATAAATGATGTCCAACAGTAGGCCCTTGATTAAGTAAATTACGGTAATTCCTATATTACGGACTACTATACAACTATTAAAAATCATGTTTTAAAGGATGTAATCATGGGGGAAAGATTTGTGATACATTCTTCACTGAAAAGCACAGATTACAAAACAATGTACAGAAAGGTCCCAGTATTGATAGATTGAGATGGATGGATGGATGGATGAATGGATGGGTTGACACAGATAGATGGATGGATACAGATGGATGGACAGACAGATGCTGTGTTAGGTGTTGTAAAGACGACTTCGACTCATAGCGGCCCCATGTGACAGAGTAGAACTGCCCCATATGGTTTTCTAGGCTGTAATCTTTACAGGAGCAGGTCGCCAGGTGTTTCTCCCACAGAGCCCCTGGGTGGGTCCAAACTGCCAACCTTTTAGTTCGCAGCCAAGTACCACCAGAACTTGACAGGTAGGTAGACTTGTGTATGTGTGTGTGTTCTCTCTCTCTCACACACACACACACAAGGACGTATGCGTGCTCTCTGAAAGAAGATCACAAGGATTCCTATTAACAATGTTAACAGTGGTTACTACTGGATGATGGGATTATGGCTGATTTTAATTTTTTCCAAAACCTCCTGCTATGAATATGTATTATTTTGTAAACAGAAAAAAAGCTAATTAAGAAAAATGAATCCCTACAGAGCCCAACCTCCTTTGATTCAGAGAGCACAACGTCAACCATTTCTGTAGAATAGTATAAGGACGAAAAGCAAGAAGACTGTGTTTTCTTAAACTCAAAAGTGGAATTATTAAAACACAGCAGAAACCAGCATCAAGCCACAGGCATTACCTCACTGTCTCTAAGCAGTGGGGGGAAGTGGAAGAAGAGGGACTGGCCGAGAGACACCGTCTGGATTGGATTGTCAAGGTTCTCGCTTTTGTAAAGCTTTACCTGGAGAGCAAAAACAAACAGGGCATGCTTGTGAAATTGAAACATGATAAACATTTCATTTCAGACATCCCCAAGACAGCTGATCTCCTGGGGGAGAGGGGGGAATCTTTGGAAACATGGATATTTGAAAGAGAAACCGTCCTCCCCTGACAGCTACACATAATGCATTCCTCAATCATCTGAGACTCTGATAACATGTCATGCAGAGAAATGCAAGGTTTTAAAATAGATTCTAACTTCTGTTATCACTCAAACGAATAATAACAGTTATTATAAGGACAACATTGAAAAGAATAGCTGCTAACATTTGTTGAGCATCTATAATACGCCGGGCATGCAACAGGCACTTTGCATGCATTATCACCAATCCTGAGTATAAAACAGATATCATTACTCTCCCTACAGAGACTCAGAAAGACACCTGAGGTCACATAGCTCATACACGGCAGAGTCTGGGACTGAACCCACATGACTGAGGGTCCTGTCCACCTTGCACTGTCTCTGCATACGACATGGAACCTTAATTCCACAAGTATTTGTTAAACTCAAAATGTGATCTCATTCTGCATTTGGTTCTCTGGGCTGCTTCAAGAAGCAGTTCAGTGCTTTGTCCCTGGCCTTTACTTCTCTCAGGTCTGGGTTCGTTGCCTGTTCTTACACCATGTACAATGGGGCATGAGAAAGAGTAAGGTGCAGTCCTGGCCAATGTAAAGGCTGTGAGGCGCCATCCTGCACCTGCCATAAGAGAATCATTCTAATTTCCAGCTTCTCTGGAAAACTGGGAAGCAGTACCAACCCTGAGCCAGAAATCTAGTATGGCAGCAATCAGACAGTGCTGAGGAGTGGCTGCCTCCCCTTCCCTCCACTCCCTCACCCCGTAGATGGGGCATGACTTCTCCAGTTTGCCCCAAAAACCATCCAGCCCTCTTCATTCTCTGACATTACCTGCCTGGGACCCACAGGCACACAGGTTTGCAACCCCTGGACTAAAGGGTAGTTAGCAGGTGAGTTCAACCCTAAGCACACATTCTCACTCAAGCCAGATACTTAACTGTATGTAAAACGGAATGTGCCTCTTAGTAACACACCCCTCTGGCAATGCTTTAACATTTTCCAAGGGATTGCAGGACGTTTTAAAAGTGCTTCTTCATTAACCACAGACACAGAGATTTTGTTACAGCTGGAAGAGACCTTAAGAGGTCATTTAGTCCAACTACCTGATTGTGTAAAGGACGAAACTCAGGCACATGGACGTGAAGTGATTCGCCCAAAGCTAAAAAGCAGGTAACTACCAGTGACAGGAAGAGAGCCCAGTCCACCTGGCTTCTGTGCTCACTACCTTCACCCTGGACAGATTTAAAAAATTATGAGGCACTTTGTCTTAAAATTGTCTTTCCATGTTAGACTCCAGATTGTATTGATTACTCATCAGGCTTCTGCTACAATCCCTCCGAAGATTAACTGCTGGCAAAACCGTTTATCTGAAACTAGAATACATTTCTCTCTAATGATCAGCAATCACTCCCCCAAGTACACGCGGTGATCAAAGTTTCTTAAATCTCAACCCTAACCCTCAGCAGGCAGCATTCTGGAGCATCTCCAAATTCAGTATTTACAGCAAGAGCTAGATGGGCACAAAGGGCCTGCTCCTCCTTGTCTTAAAGCTGAAAAGAACATAACATTTTATTTTAATCTTAAAAAGCTGGTCTCTAGCTTACCCACAATGTTGGGAGATACTCAGAGGAAGTGATCACATTTCCACTTAAGTCAAATTGATTAATCTGCCGGAAAACTATGATGTTTACGTCATCGATGTCATTATTGCCAACCTAGAAAGAGAAGAAGAACGCTGGTATTGAGAAGGCTGGAGGAGGAACTTCTAGCTGTTGAATGGTCTGAGAGCTACTTCTTGGCAAACTTTACTCCTTATATTAAGGGAGCAGAGTGTGCCACTGAAGTAGCCTAAGGTCACAAACTGACAGAAGGTGGGTTATACCTGGCCTACATGCACAGTTTGATGTGCACAGTATTTTTTTGGTTAAGTTTTAATTCCTTGTCAACTTTTTAAAAAGTAGGCAACTTCACAGTCCAAGCCAGACTTTCCGGCTTCCCTTGGAAAAAAAAAAAAACGCTCTTGCCAGGCAAAAGTCAGTGGGTTCTGAGTCCCAGCTGCCGCTTCGGGCAGGTTGTGTGCTCTCCAGTTTGTGAAAGCCCAGAAGCCCACTTCTCTGCTTCATACCTGCCTGGCTGACAGTCACATTACTGTTTATGATCCTGGCCTGAGTCACCCCAGTAGGGAAATACATAAGTTGTAAGTCATTTTGGCGTGAGACACAGCCATTACAGCCCTTTAAAATGCCAGCTGCCATAAAGACATCAAGAAAATCCACTTCCTAGGCCAAAAACTCCTACCTGGCCCACCACTCTCCACCCTGTTGTTAGTTGCCACTAAGTCACTTCCAACTCACGGAGCCCTCATGTGTGAAGAGTAGAACTGCCCCATAGGGTTTTCAAGGCTGTGACCTTTTGGAAGCACATCATCAGGCCTGTCTTGAGGCACCTCTGGGTGGGTTTGAATTGCTAATCTTTTGGCTAATAGTCAAGCGCTTAACCATCTGCACACCCAGGCAACCTACTCTTTACCCTAAGCTCTCCCAGTCTTCATGTGTATTGTTGTTGTGTGCCACTGAGTCAACTCCAACTCACAGTGACTCTACAGGACAGAGGAGAACTGCCCCCATAGCGTTTCCAAGGCTGTAATCTTTACAGAAGCAGACTGCCACATCTTTCTCCTGTGGAGCAGCTAGTGGGTTTGAACCACCAATCTTTTGGTTAACAGTCAAGAGCTTAACCAGTGCACCACCAGGGCTCCTTGCTTCAAGCTTAATGTTCACCTAATAAAGCCACCAAGAGTCAGTCTCTCTCTTCCTGCCCAAGCTTCTCTAGTCCAGCAAATCCCAGCTGTTTAGTAAGAGGGAAGTCTTACTTCAAATGGATCTGGCCACTTTCTGTGAACTGGAGGCTGCCTCCTTACGGGTCAATTTAGTTAAGTTATGATCATGAATATCAAAGGACTCTGCCCACCAAATGGAATAAATAAGGGCATCTGAATATAAGAAGACTAGGTGATCCTGCTACCAGTTAAGCCCATGTTCTCTTTATTCCCCTCCGTTGGTTTGAGATGCTCCTTATGCCTTAAGACCCTTAACTTGCAGAATAATGATCAGGGCTTCCAGGGCAAGTGGGGGGAGTGGGGAAACAAGAGTGCAAATTTCTTTTCTAAATGAATGACAGCAATGCTGTTCATTAAAAACTCCACCCACATAAGACATTGCCTGTGAGGATGACACTATTCTACAAAGACCCTTAACTAGGATTTAAAGCTCCCCCTACAACAGTTGAAATGCAGACAACCATAGGAGTACTTAAGTATTTTTGATCAGGAAAGCAGTCATACTAAGATTCCTTAGAAGAATTTAATGCCTTACCTCAATTACCCGATGGTGGGGGAGAGCCCGTTCAATGTGATCGTTGCCTTCTGCCTTGAGCTGAACGTGGTATACACATCCCGGCTGCAAATAAACCCAGCAGTCAAGTCTCTAGAAAGGGGCTTATTATATTAAACTTGACCTGAACCTGGTCTGACTGCATGTGGTCATCTCGATGCGAGAAATTTCTTTCCCACCTCACTTGCCAATCTGTGGCAAGTTAACCTTCTTAAGGGTCACTTTAAAAACCACCCAGGCATTGCATCATTACTCACAATAGCCAAAAGGTGGAATCAACCCAAGTGTCCATCAACAGATAAACAGATAAACAAAATGTGATGCTGTATCCACACAATGCAATATTATTCAGTCATCAAGAGAAATAAAGTGTCGATACATCTACAACATGGATGAACCTTAAAAACATTATGCTCAGTGAAATAAATTAGACACAAAAGGACAAACATTGTATGATCCCACTGAGATGAAATATCTAGAATTGGTGAATGCACAGAAACAAAAGTTTATTAGTGGTTACAAAGGGCTGTGGGGAGGGGAAAATACAGTGTTATTGCTTAAGGGGCACTGAGTTTCTAATTGGGGTGATAAAAAAAACTTTTGGAAATAGACTGTGGTAATGGTTACACAGCATGAAAAATGTCACTGAATTGTGCACTCAAAAATGGATGAAATGGCAATTTTTTTGTTATTTATTTTTTACCACAATAAGATTTTAAAAAGCATCCATGATGAAGAAATATTTATTTGAAGTTCTGCAAGTGCTTCAGTTTCAATTCGGTTTCATTGTCTTCTACCCAAGGAAAATTCAATTTTATTTTGTATTTCAAAATTGCAAGCACTGCGGTTGTTCTTATTCTCGTAAACCCATCCTTTCCTTGCAGCCCACCTAGTCCCTCTGTCTGTAAATACGCACAGTGACATCTGGAATGACACTCCCAAAGGCTAACAGTGGATATGATTTCTGGGACGTAAGATTTGAAAATTTTCTTTTTTTAAAAAAAAATAGTTTCTTCTTTACACCTTTTATTCTACTGTTTGTTTAGACAAGCATCATGTTTACCAAAAAGTCATTATTCTAAAAAAAAAAACAAGAAACTTATAAAAACTTATAAAACAACTAATTTCTGATCATCCACCACGTAACTGACCTGATGACTCAGGATCTGAAGCACTGGACTAATGTCTATTTGCACCTTAGTGGGAAAACCGTATTTATAACACAGGGTATTTTTAAACAAGCATGGATAATGTGGTTCCAGTCTTCTAAAATTATGTATGCTTTGATCATCTCTGTATGCAGACAGCGCAGTGTCTAAAAGGTATTTGCTACATGTCAACCGCGAGTACTTCCAGGTGGTAGCTTTAGGGTGATTTTTTTCACTTTCATCTTTTCTATATATTGCTTGAAATATTTCATAATAAGCACATAGTATTTCTGCAAATAAAGCTATTATTAAAAAAATAAAAATAAAATAAAAAACTACAAGAACCAAATTTATAATCACCAACAGATACATCAGCTCACTTTACAGCCCAATTAGGACCAGCAGCATTGGGCTTGGTTCAAACATAACTGTTTGCACTTCAGTGGGGGAGGACCCACTGCCACTGAATTGACTGTGACTCATGGTGACCCCATGTGTTACAGAGTAGAACTGCTCCACAGGGTATTCTTGGCTGCGTCCTTTAAGGAACAGATTGCCAAGCCTCTCTTTCATGGTGCCACTGGGTAGGTTCAAGCTGCCAGCCTTAGGGTAGTAGTCAAGTGCAAACTGTTTGCACCACCCAGGGACCTAAGGCTTAAGCATTTATTTGTGAAGAAAAAGAGAGACAGCATCACTGCAGCAGGAAGAGCAGGCACAGCCCGCTCGCTCCAATGCCTAGGCCGGGCAGCATCCGATCAGGGCAGCTGCTGTGGTCCTAAGGGGTCCTGACTCCTACCTCATGGCAGACTGCCCAGGGACTCTCCTGCGTCCTCTGGTAGCAGTATCTGGTAGAGTAGCTGCTCTCCCAAGATGTCTTGACAAGCACACTGCCCAGAAAGGTCAAATGAACAAACGGGCCCAGGTGCTCATCCTAACTTGGGATCCCAATCCTTAGTACAACCTTAACAGCAGGTCTCTAGCTTGCGATCATCTGGGAAACTGGCCAACTCAAATTCAAAACACTTGATGGAAAACTTCAATGGATACTCCTTAGAAGATGTGCCTAGCACAAGCCTTATACATGGTTTTAAGTGTTGGCTGCTACAAGCGGTCAACTCTAAAACACTGAAAGTGAGCTCTACTGGCTTAACATCTATTAGGAGGAGGAGGCTGGCAAATAGCAAACATTCTCTGTGCCTCAGGACCGTAAGGCACTGTGGCAGCACGCTTCACGGGAGCTGGTCTTCCCACAGGGCAGAGCATCTACAGTAAAGCTCATCGAGACTCATGTGTAAGGATGGCAAGATGACCATCATATTAATTAATCTGACAAAAACCTACCAAAAGGAGAGTGGTAGGCAGAGCCGGATATAGGGAGCCTGCCCTGACAGTGTGCCCCAGCTCTGTCCGTTGGCCCATAAGAACAGGTATATTTCAGTCCTTAGCATGGCCAGGTAAGACATCCCCTAAGTCCAGCTACCTCCTTTTGCTTGAACACTCTCTGTTCACTGAGTGACACTCCAACCTGATTTGAAGGCGTAGGGATGCCCTGGATATGTATATACGCATCCCTAACTTTAGGACAGAACAGCAATGCCCCAACGTATATAAATAAATGGACAAACTGATTTGCATCTCAGCTCACGTGATTTAGGCAAATACTTGTCTGTTACCAAGATATGACTGTCTCTGGGGTCAACTAACACCACCAGTTTGTGGATCTAAAAGCCCAGGGACCAAACCCCAGATTCTGGTGGTTCAGCACACTGGGTGCTGCCCAACCCCCATAAGATGCCCTACAGTAAACAGCCCCTCTCGGTGACTTCTACAATACACATTTAGTATCTACTGAATGAGCAAATAGTGAACAAACAAATGAAAATTGAGAGGAAAAAAGCACCACAAATCCTAAGCCAAATGTTGCAATTTAGAAGTCCAAAAGACAAATAAGATTTTTGTTTGGCCCGCACAAAGAAGTTGTGGGGTTTTTTATAAAAAGTTAGTTAACATTTTAAATCAGGTGTTTTCATAAGGAAATCTGAATTTCTGAGTTCTCTTTTAAAAATTCAAATTATCAGACAACACTGAGCTTGTCTTCCCACATGGCTATAATTAACTAGAGCTGAGTGGTAACTGCCCCCTGTACATTGGCCATGCTCTCTCTAGCTCACCACAGTCCCCACCACTCCTTATTGTACACTCAACTCCCTTCAACCATTCATACTTCTCTCCTGGACCCATAGGCATTTGGTCTGATATCCCGGGCCTAAGCAATAATTACCCAATGCTAGGCAAAAGGTGCACACAGCATGAAAAAAAGTCCTCTAAGAAAATATGCTCAGCGTCTCACCAGCAATCCACGCAATCTGAACTTCCCCTCTTCATCTGTCATGGTGTCTTCTCCATAAATGCTACAGTCATTCTGTCCCACGGCTTCCACGGCAATGCCCTGTTCTGGTTCTCCATTTAAAGAAGAAACTGTGCCATAGCAACTAAAGTGAAAACAAGAGAAACAAAACATCATACTCTTGCGGTTTTCTAAAGCACACAAAGGATCTCAGGTAAAGTGTCCTGTGTTTACCAACAATTTACAGCGCAAAACAGTCTAGTGAGGAATTGCGTCCCAGTGACCTAGACAATTCAGTTCTAGCTATGCCACTTCCAACCTAGCCTTCCTGCCACTGGGATAAGTTGTCAATTTCTCTTTTCATACATTCTGAAAGAGGCTCCAGAAAATTGTAATTAAAAAAGGCTAAGCTTTATTTTATTCCATTTTTTCGAAGCTTTAAGTAATGAAACATCCAATAAAATGAAAATAAATCACTTCCCCTTTCATCCCACACATACTTTGTGATTAATCTCATCTAAAATGCGTTTGCATACATGTGTAAAAATGTGTGTGTGTGTGTATATAGCTAGTATTTGCACAAACTTTCTGGAAGTATTCAGAAAACTCAGAAACACCCGTTGTCTTCTGGAAGGGGAACTTGGGTGGCTGGGAGACAAGAACAGATAGAAAAACTACATTACATACTCTTTTCGTTATTCTGAATTTTTACTCAGGTGAACGCATTTCTTTCTTTCAAATTTTTAATTCAAGTTTAAAACTTTTAAAAAATAAAACTCTTAAGCAAATAGATAGGTTCTCTCGGGCCAATTTCAAAATAGGAAATTGAAGACTGAACTGCTAGTTTGAGGTATTAGAAGTAAAGGGCAGTAGTCAAAAATCTTTTGACCTCGTATCATCTATCTCCCTTGCCTCCTAAACAAAATCAGCCTGAAGACTGGGATGGGTTTGTGGACAGCCACATCTGAGTGTGATTCCACAGTTCAGCCCTAGAGAGAGAGATGCAGGTGGGGCTGCTCACCTGTAGGCTGTCCGATACCCAGTGATGGTGATCTTCAGGTTCTGTCCCTCCTGCACCTCGATCATTTGTGAGGACGGCTCAAACCGGAATTCTTTCATCATGGGTTTGAAGTAATACTGCCCAGGGCTCTGCCAAGAGACAACCGCAAACTGAGCCTCTGCTGTCACGTCTAGGGACAGCTTGAAAGAGGGGCATCAATTGCAACCAATGTCACAAAACAATCTGTGTATAAATTTTTAAATGAGAAACTAACGTGCACTGTAAACTTTTACCTAAAACACAATAAAATTAAAAAAATTAAAATGACAAATGCAAAAGGAGGGACGGAGGCACCAAAGTTATAATAGAATTAAGCCACAATAGCTCCAGGGCTTCCTAGACAGACAGACATGGTAACACTATCTCTACAATCAATAACTGTACTAAAGAAATTACAATGATTATTAACGACGGCAGCTATCATTGTCATGAGCCTTTAACAACTCTGTGAGGTAGAAGTCGTATGTGAATTTTAGGATGCAGAAACCGAGGCTCAGAAAGGTAAAGTAGCTTGCCTGAGATGACACAGCAATAGGAGCAGAGGGAAGATTTAGAGCCAGGTGTGTATCACTACAAAGCCTGTGATCTTTCTGAGATGCCTCACTGCCTCTCTGTGACATCCCTCTAACAGTCATTTTACTCCCAGTACTGACAAGATGACCGTGTTCATGTGGACTTTCTGTGTCTGCACCAGTCAGGGCCTCAGACTACAACGCAGATGAAACACTGGTGCCATCTTCCCGCCATGCGGAGCTAGAGCTCCCAGGCAGACCTGCATGGCTCCAGAGCCGGCACTCTCCCCACAGCCCCACGCAACCTCCCGAAGGCGGGCCCGGGGGGAACGAGTGACTCCGCAGCATCGGCTGACAGGACTCCTCTCCCGCCTCAGGACGTTTTCTTGATTTCTTTCGTGTCTGAGTGAATAAGTGGGAGCACAATGGAAAGAGCGGAAGATGCCCCAGAAAACCACTAGGACAGAAGACAAGGCGACTAAGTCACTCAGCTGATGCCCACCACTACAGCACAACACTCTGGGGAGCTCAGAGATTGACACCATCCCTACCACGAGCTCCCGGAAATGACGTGCCTTTACTTCCGGCTGTGGGCCTGGCTCCCCACGCACGCAGAAGTAGCTCCGTTATTCCACCTGCGCTTCTGCACAAGGCATGCAACATGAGGTCCTCGCCTTCAAGCCCAACCTCAGCCTCAATCAACTCCAGTGCCTTCTGCTGCTTTGCGGGAAAAAAAAAAAAAAAAAAACCACACACAAGCTAACCACCAAATGCAGCCTGACACTACAGACAATGTAATGCTGTGGTAAAACACAGGGAGACCTAAGAGAGGTGCCCACTGTGGCCAGGGTAATTAATTACATTGTCTTAGTGACAAGCAGGTGACCAAGTAACAAGAAGTGTGCGCGGAAAGGAACATGAATCTGCAACATTAAGTTCTAGTATGAGCAAGACTCTAATTAGATTTGGTCCCCAAAGAAACGTAAAAGATTCCAAGTTCTCACATTGTCAAGTAATACATAAGCCCTGTGTGCCGTGCTCCTGCTCTCTCTCGGGACGACAGGCAGCCGGTAGATTACAGAAGGGCACCTTACCAGGTTTGAGAATGTTAGAATGCCGTTGTCCTGAGTCAAGAGGTTGGAACGAAACACGCCACCACTGAGGGACAAGAGAACCCCAGGGAGGGGCTGGTCATCTTCAGCTTTAATCTGGGGGTGAGAAAGTAACATCCCAGCAAAGTTAACTCATATAACCATGAAGATATTATTTCACAAATCAAGAGGTAACTCTTAGTGGATTTTTTTCTTTAGTTGTTATTCGTGGGGGGCTGCGAGGGCCGGCACAGGGGGAAGCCTAGTCTTCATCCCCAGGACTAACTAATGTTAACAGTATGGTGTATAGCCTTCCAGAACTCTTTCTGTGTCCACAAAAATTTGATAAACATTGCATATATTTTTGGCAAGCTGGCAAGTTTATTGCGGGGAAGGGTGGTGGAGGAAGTGAAACAAAAATGGCAATGCTACACATTACAGTTCTACAGCTTGCTTCCTTCCCTCGGTTTATCCTGGCTCTCCTTTCCTGTCAGTCCACAGACGTCTGCCTTACTGTTTCTTAACAGCTACATAACATTCTAAAGCAGGGTCAGCAAACCACGGCCTGAGAGCCAGCCACCTATTTCTGTGGTAGACAAGGAGAGGCAATCTAAATGTCCCTGGAAATATACATCTTTGTTCACTTGTGTTTTTCTCTATTTCTGAATATTATTATTTAATCCGTGGGAGTAGAATTGTTGGATATGTGCACTTTAAATTCAGAAAGATACTACCCAATTGCATTGAAAAGTGGCTGTAACCATTTAGAGTCCCATAAACTACCTATGCGTAGGAAAACACACCTTCACCAAAACATAGATATTGTTTTAACTGCTGTAAATTTAACCCACAAAGCAGTATTTCGATGGTAACTTCCTTTGTATTTCCTCATAACTAAAGAGGTTGAACATTTCTTCTACATTTATTAGTCATTTACTTCTTTGAATTGCCTTTTCATATCCTTTGTTCATTTTTTTCCTATTGGGTTGTCATTTTCTTATTGATTTACAGCTCTTTGAAAACAGGGAATATTATTTACAGTATAAATACTTCTTCCCAGCTTGGATGTCTTTTAATTTGGTTTAAAATGTATTTTTATGGGACATAATCTGTCATTCTTTTCCTTTGGCCTCTCTGTTGTAAATACTCAGCATGCTTCTTTTCAAAAAGGACTGGGGGAAGAAAGAAAGACATCAAACATCACTATAGGAACATTCTGTGTCCTTCAACACAAAACAAAGTTAAGGATGAAAGTTGAAAACACTTCCCCAAAGGTAGATAAACATCCTACAGTCAACAGATCTGCAAATTGTAGTGAGTGAAAGAAGCCAGATGGAGAAGAGTACGTCCTGTCTGACTGCATTTACATAAAGTGCTGAAAAACGCAAACTAATTTATAGTGACAGAAAGCAGATCAGTGGTTGCCTGGGGATGGTGGGTGGGAAGGTGCAGGGGAGGGACGACAAAGAGATACAGAGAAACTTTGGGGAGTGATGGACATGTTCACTGTTTTGATCATGGTGATGTTTTCACAGGTATATTCCTAGGTCAAAACTTACCAACTGTACACTGTAAATATATGCAGTTTACTGTATGTCAATTAGACCTCAAGAAAACTGCTTTAATTAGATAGCAACCTTAGAGGGCAGTGGGTTTATGTTAATGGGGGAGGAACAATTCAGAAAAGGAGGGTGAGAATGGTTGCCAACTCAAAGAATGTAATCAATGTCACTGAATTATACATGTAGAAACTTGAATTGGTGTATGTTTTGCTGTGTATATTCTCAACAACAACAGCAACAACAAAATAAATAAAATTTAAAAAAGAAAGAAAGCAGCTTTTATAAAAATGCAGTGTTACCTCAAAGCTTACGCCTGCTAAGGCATAAGCCTTAAAGTCTCCTATGGTTCCTTCCACAGCAGTCAAAACATAGCCCTCCTTCTGTGAGTCCACAGTATATTCCAGATCACTGTGCAGGGGTCCAACACTGAATGAAAGAAAGCGAAACGCTACAGATGGCTTTGTTTCAAATCTTGGAAGAAGTGTCATCTACCGCAAGGCAATCTGGGCTCCTCAATTTCTTTAGAAGAGCATCAAAAGGCAACTGATCCAAATACTTCTTAATCACAGGCTTACCTATAGGCACCCTTGTCATCGGTAAAGACTGTGATCAGGGGTGAGCTTGCCCCCTTTTCACGAATGACAATCTCAACTCCTTCCAACTCGGGGTGGATCTGACCTTCTAAAAACAAGCCTGCCTTCCCATGGATCTCGATCAGCTTCCCTGGACAGTTCTCTAAAAGGGGAAGAAATAGAAGAGGAATGGGACTTAGTTGCAGAGGGAGAGAAGCTTTCTGGTTGGGCCTAAAACTGAGATATCTGAAGCTAGCTCCAAATGAGTTTATTGAATATACCAGAAACTTCAATCATTGAAAGTAGCCCAAGCCTCTCTCCATCCCTCAAAGGCCTTGCTCAATTGCCAAGGAATTTAGCAGGAAAATCTAACAAAGACTGGGTTTACACTACTCCTATCCCTTGGTCCTCACAAGGCCACCAATAAGGAGATCTCCATTTTCAGCCAAGAAGAAGCTACATTGCTCAACCCCCAGGGGACCCAGTACAGAGAATTGCCCCACAGAGCCCACCCACTAGAAAGCTATGCTCTTCAATACATCTACTTCCGAACCCTAACCACATCAACACACAGGGTTTAATGAACCTAAACTCTCAGCAGCCAAAAGGCAAATACTCCATAAGCCAGCACTTCTAATTATCCATTCCCAAAACACTTCCATCACCCCTGTCAAAAAAATATAAAGATTGTAAACAATTCAAACATTTTCATCATTGACAGCTGGCTTTACACCTACCTTCTTGTGTCAACCTGATAATGTCAAAGAAAACCAAGTCCTTTTCTAAAAAAGATCACCTCAATTCTAAGAGCAAACATTACTTTTATTGATTTAGACCCTTCATTCATTCATCCATCAAGCAGTAACATCTATATGCTAAAGAGGGTGTAAGGTGGCTTACAAAGATGACTTCACTCTACTAACACAAAATAAAAATATTTTAAGGGCAGGTAAAGGAACAATTGCAGAAATGTGTCATTTGCTCACTGAGTTGATACTTACCTCCATTGACGACAGCTTCCATTGAAGGCGGATAAAAGAGAAGTTCTTTAGACGAGGGTGTAACAGTGATTTTCTCTCCAGACCTAAAATAATTAAGATGCTTCAATTTGGCGAATTCTGTCCCATCACTAGACAAAAAACATCAAAACAGAGGACATGGTAGAGAAAAGCACAAGAGAGCTTACCGTGCCCAGTAAGAGAAATCATATGAGAAGGGGCCTTGTAATTCATCTACCATCTCCTGCACGGGAGGTTTTGTCATCCCTTCTCCATCTTCTTCTTTGCCACTCTTCTCCCTCTCCTGCCTGCGGCTCTCAATCTCAGCCAGCTGCTGCTCCCTCCGGAGCTCCTGCACAGACTTCAGAGGGCCTAAGACTAAGGCGGGCTCGCTGTCAATGGAAGACCTGGAGCAAAGGAAGGGGTGGCCCAGAAGGATGTGGTCATTTATCCCTGTCGCAAGTGGGACTCTGACATTTCTACAGGTAGGGCCACATAAGTAAAAAAACAGGATACCTTAAAATGATATCAAAGCGGTACAGTCTTCTGTTTTGAATAAACTTATGGTTTAAATTTAAAAAAAGGAACTTCTTAGTGATTATAATAGTATCTTATAGATGTGAGCTGGAATAAAAGACCACTTGAGTTTATGCTGACTTGATAAAAACTTGTCAGTTTCCACACAGGACGTGGCGTTCTCTCCATGGGCACCACCTTCTCTTCATTTGTTCATTTAGTAAATACTTAGCAAGAACATACTATGGCCCAGGCACTACTCTAGGCACTGAGGACACTGCAGTAAACAAAACAAACAACATTCCCTAGTTCCATAGAAACCACATGCTAGTGGGAAGAGGCAGATTATAAACATATAATAAACATTAAAAATAATAAATAATGTCAGATGATAAGTACAATGAAGAAAAATAAAGCAAGGTGAGAGGATAAAGTGCTGGAGGCGAGATGTCGCTATTTTATACCAGGGGGTCAGCCCAGGTCTCTCTGATGAGGTGACACTCACGCAAAGACCCACAGGAAGGAAGGGAGAATGGGAGCCACATGGCTATCTGGGTGAAGAGTGTCCCCGGCAAGAGGACAGCAAGTACAAGTCCTTGGAGAAGAAGCTGGCAAGCTCAAGAACACCAAGGAGACCCATGTAGCCTGAAGCAGAGTGACCCATGGAAGTCAGAGCAGTCAGAGAGAGGCCCAAGAGATACTAAGTGTCAGATGGGGGTTTTGCAGACCTTGAATTTCATTCTGTCCTGAGTGGGATGAAAAGCCACTGGAATTTTAAGTAGAGGAATGATACAATCTCTCCTATAAAAGCATTGCTCTGGCTACCATATGGAGAACACACTGTTGTGAGGCCATGGCCCAAACAGGGAGGCCAGTTAGGAAGGTGTTGCAATGATCCAGGCAACAGAAGTGTTAAGAAGCCACTGGGTTATGGATATATTTTGATGACAAAGCCAAAGATTTGTTGATGGACTGATTGGATATGGGGTGCAAGATAAAGGAAAGTTTGGGAATAACTAGAAAGACGAAGCTGCCATTTCTTAAACAGGGACTATTACAGAGTAGGTTTGCAGAGGGCAATGGCCAAAAGTGTGATTTCGAGCATGTTAAGTACAAAATAGAGGAGCCCCATTCTGGATCCAACTGGCTGTGTCCAGCTGGAGCATGCATTTCTTACAGGCCCTAGTGCAAGTAAACACACCAAAAGACCCTGTGAAGTTACAAAAATAAATTTAGTAAAGACCAAAAGCGAGGCAATATGGAGTCACTATAGGTAAGAATATGGATTTCTAGTCATACCAGGAATTCATATTTTCCAAGTAGGAAACTAGTAAAAGGCATTGCTCCATCACTGGCACAGTACCTGGCCCACAAAGACACTCAACAGATCCTGCTCCCCAGAAACTTAACTTTCTATCTCAGTGAACAGTACTCCCACCAATCCAGTTTCTTCAGCCAAAAACCTAGGGCTATTCCTGACACTTCCTCCTCCTTGACGTGACATCTTATCAATTCAGTCCTCTCAAAACTCTCTGATCCATCCACTTCTCTTCATCTCCACTGCCCCCAGTCTAGCTAAAGCCCCGTCATCTCTCACACTGACTCCTGCAAGAGCCTACCTCCCTCTGCCTCAATCAACTTCCACTCTTGGGCCTTTTCTAACTATTCCCCACTCAGCAGCCAAAAGTCATCCTTCTACTTAGAACACATCGATAGTGTTCCATGGCTCCTGGGACAAAGACTAAGGCCCTTAGCATGGCCTGGCCTCTACTAGCCTACTTCTCCATCATACCTCCTTCCCCCCACAAGGTCAGACTCATAGCATTTATCACAGTTGTACTATTACAGTTCTGTGTGACTCTTTGACTACTGTCTACCTCCCCCATGAGACTGTAAGTTCCAGAAGGAGAGAGGCTGTGTAGCCTAGGCCCAGTACCTGAACACTGAAGAATATTTTCCTCATGGGTAGCTGGATGAACAGATGTTTGGAGAGAAAGATGGGAACAAATCGTTGAAAAAAGCCACTGCCGTCAAGTCAATTCTGACCCACAGCAACCCTACAGAACTGCCCCACAATTTCCAAGTCTGTAATCCTTTCAAAGATTATGTTGCTGCAACCCTTCCTTTCATTTCTAGAGAAAATTAGGGTGTCTGATCAACACGACACCATGCATGTGCCCCTCACTACACTGCAAAAATTCCACTCAAAAATGGCATTCACATGAACCTGACCCTCACTGAGGGACTGCCTTTCAAATACTTTCACTCTCATGACCCTTCTTATATCAGGTGCCATTTCTATTTCCCATGCCTTAAAAAAACGGTCTAAAGAAAAGTAGGCAATTTTCCCGAATTTGCTAAAACACTTGAAATACAATAAACAAACCCAGAATGCTTTTTTTTCCCTCTCCTTAGCAAAGACAGGAAGTGTAAAGAGTTCAGACAGAAATTTAAGACATTGAAACCAGCTGTCAGAAGGCTCTATCTCATCCACAGTTAATTCCTGAATCATAAAAGGATCAAGGTTATTGCGAATTTCTGGCTGTGTCATAGAAATCCAAGAAGGGGAAGGCCTTTTGTACACACACCTAGAGATAGGAAATCAAAAATAATTTTCAGAGAGTCTATCAGAGAACACCCCAGGCCTTGTCCACCAGCCTCCCACGCCCAGCCCACCACAGAACACGAGTCTTACTTGATAGTCACGGTGACATCCATCATCTTGTCAGTGGTGATAGTTCCAAGGACATGATGGCGAATGGCTGTCAACGTCAAGATACTGGGTGAAGACCTACAATCAAAGCAGTGGAAAGACTAACACTGGCAACACTCCCTCAGCATTCTCCAAGGATCACAAACACACCCTTTGTGGGCGACCCTCTTGACCCTGAAACACACTACATGAAAGGGCTCTTACTCAGGGTTAAAATAACTCCCGAAATACACACAAATATTTGAAAGAGGAAACTGAATCTATACTCAAAAACCTTATATTTCCAATTCCCAGAGAGGCTCACAAACGTTTGTAAAAATATAAAAATGGTAGACTTGCGCTTGTGAAATTCCCGTCAGTGAGGGCTGGAAGATTTAACAAAGATTACATTTAAGCCACTTCAAGAACACAGCCTTTTATCCTTGGTTTGCAGAATTCTTGGGAAAGAGATACTATCTCCGTTTCCTCATTTATCCAAGTGTCTTAAAATCCTTATCTAGAAATTCTTTCTAATGCCTATCTTTACTTCTTCTAGAAAAAACAGAAAAATTCCTTGTGTTCTGAGAAAAAAATAATGAAGAGATGTGTACTTGTTCTCCTCCACATCCTGTACACAAACGCCACCAAGTATTTAATAAACAAGCCATGCTTACGTGTCATAGGTGTAGAAAGCTTGTTCAAACCGGTGGCAGGAGCGAGGGGTCACTTTGTACACGCCTACAGACAGGAAATCAAAAGTAATTTTCAGAGACTGGTGTCTATCACACCAAGCAATTCCAACATTTGAAATCCAAAGGCAGCTTCTCTATTTGAAGACTCACACCATATTGCGGATCTGCTGTACGGGGCTCGGAAATGCCACGCAGGCATCTTTCCACTGCCGACAACAGCCTCTTACCAATGATCCAATCTGTTTTACAGCCTGCTCACATGCGCAGGTTTTCATTTTCCATAACTTAACAACTCACAGTCTGCATAGACCAAGCTTACAGATTCATGCGCAGGAAGGAACAGAAAGTGCATTTCTACTGCAAATCAGACTGAGAACAATTTTCTACTTAAAAGATTCTGTTAAAGAGCGAAAAGATAACCATAGCCTAAGCCTTTCCTATAAATATTCCTAAGAAGGGACAGGGAGTAAAGAAGCCCCATAAGATTATGAAACGAGCATAGAAAACTACTTTTATGCCAGGAGTCTATGTAGGGGAACACTCAGATTAGAGACATATTTCATCATTTGCCAGAGGAATGCAGTCAATTTCAGGGAGAAGCAAAGTGTAGCAATTTATCCCCCCAATTGATCATTAACCAGTATTTTCACCAGACTTTCTACAAAAACCTGAAATTAGTTCAAACCACCCCTGCTATTTTCATCACAATGAGTAAGCCCCAGTGCCGTTACCGCTAGAAAAAATGATTAGGCTTCTTCATTCATTCAACAAATACTGACAGAGCACCTGCTGTCGTTGCTGTTAGGCGCCATCGAGTTGGTTCCAACTCATAGTGACCCAGTAAGACAGAGAAGAACTATGCCACAGGGTTTCCAAGGAGTGACCGCTGGATTCGAACTGCCGACCTTTGGTTAGCAGCCATAGCTCTTAACCACTGAGCCAGGGCTCGAGCACCTACTACAGGCCAAGTATTATGCTAGGTGATGGTACACAGTAGGGAACCAACCAGATATGACCCCTGCCTTCATGAAGCTTACCATCTACGGAGGGAGACATTCAACAGATACATGGATACCAACTTTGACGAGTACAGAAAGGGAAAAGAACTGAGAGCCATGAGGAGACGGAAACAAGACTGGAGGGCCACCTTGCCCTGGGGAAGTAAAATGGGAACCCAGCACTGAAGGCACAGTAAGAGGGCAGAAGCTAGGTGAAGAGTGGGGTGTGAGGGGCAGAGAACAGCGGTGGCATCATAGACTTGTTAGCTGCCTCCCCAAAAGCTGTCCTCCCTCCCTTGATAACACTCTGCTTATGTTTATGGTGGCAATGTGCTCAGCCTCAGGCAATTATCCAGCTGTCCCAGCCTCTCTTGCGGCTAGAAGTGATCATATGACATGGTTTTGGCCAAGAAGACAGCAGAAATTTACTGAAGAAAAGGGCATGAGAAAACTCTGTCCCTCCCTGCCCCTCGTCTTCCTGCCTCAAACATAACAAGGTTTCTGAGACAACGGTAGCCATCTTACAAAAAAACCCATAGGGCAAAGAATACAATTGAAAGGCCAGAAGATTTACAAAGACACTAACCCTACCATGTCTCAGGTACTGAGCCCATGCCAGTAGCCACAGACCTCCAGACTTCCTTATGGAGCCAAATAAACCCCACTCGTTGATGCCATTGTTGTTCAGGTTTTGTGACTTGCAGAAGGCATCTAGCTAATACACTGGTGAAAAAGCCCTGGCTTTGGGGGTGGGGGGTGACTGGGACACTGACAGAGGGGCTAGAGAGGAGAGGGAGGCAGGATAAGATGCTAGGGTGTCAGGCAGGGGCTATAGGATCTCAAGGTCAGGTTAAGGATTTTGTATTTTATCTTGAGAACCAAGAGAAGCCACACTGAATTATTCATTAGGGAAATACAAAATAAAACCACAATGAGATACCACTTCACACACACCAGGATGGCCATGATCAAAAGGACAGACAATAACAAGTGTTGGCGAGGATATGGAAAAACGGGAACCCTCGTGCATTGCTAGTGAGAATGTAAAATGGTACCACCTCTTTGGAAAACAATTCGGCAGTTTCTTAAAAAAGTTAAACATAAATTTACCATATGACTCAATAATTCTATTCCGAAGTATCTACCAAAGAAAAACGTATGTCCACACAGACCTCTACACGAATGTTCACAACAGCACTATTCATAATAAAAACTGGATGTCCATTAACTGATGAATGGATAAATAAAATGTGGCATATCCATACAATGCAATATTATATGGCATAAAAAGAATGAGGTACTGATACATGCCACAACACAGATGAACCCTGAAATCATTGTGGTAAGAGAAAGAAGCCAGACACAAAAGACCACATATTGTATGATTCCATTTATACGAAATGTCCAGAAAAGGCAAATCTTTAGAGATATAAATTAGTGGCTGCCTAGGGCTGGAAACAGGGATTAACTGTAAATAGGCTAGAGTGATAAAAATGTTCTAAAACTGGATTATGGTGATGGCTGCACAACTTGGTAAATTTACTAAAAATCATCATGTTGTACATTTAAAATGGATACACTTTATGCTACATAAATTAAAGCTCAATAAAATTGCTGAGAGAGAGAAAGAAGCCACTGAAAGATTTTAAGGAAGGTGGAAGATGATCCAATTTTTATTTTAAAAAGATGACTCAGAGGAGAGAGGTCACAGCCAATGGTACGATATCTTTAAGGTGAAAGGCCCAGTGGCTTCTATCCTACTCGAACCTAAGAGATCAGGAGCACTTTCCAATCCCCAGGTCTTACTCTCTGAGTAAGAACATTGCTTCCTCCAGGGGAAGGAGGTAGAAAATCAAGAGTACCCTGAACACAACCAGAAATTGACAGGTTGATGCAAATAGAACCAACATAGAAAAAAAAGTGCCTTGAAAACTATCCTCGGGTGCCTTTCAGTTTTTCTAACTAGTAGCACATCAATCCTTTCAAACTTACCAGGCTTGGACAGGCAGAATCGGTTGACTCCTTTGGAGAGGTTATAAATCCCCACATTCTCAGGTCCATTTCCATCCTGATAAAATTCCTAAGGGATCAAAGACAATATGATGACTTACTAGGGGAGATGGAGACACCGAGATGATTAATAATATTTCTGTTCCCGGACCAGTCATCCGTTTTGCCCATTAATCATTTGAGCACTTGGGTGCCACAGCAAAATTAAAAACCTTCAAAAACTCCCAACAAAAACGTGATCCTTTTCACTCAGTCCACTACTATTTATTGAGCACCTGCTAGGTGACAGACACAAGGCTGGGCCTTGGGAGAGACCAACACAGCTCCTGCTCTCAGGGGGCTTCCATTCTAATCAGGGAAGACAGAAAAACTAGGGGTCAGCAAACAAATGAATAGTTTTCAGGTAGTTGGTAAGAGAGCTATGCAGAGAATAACATAGTAAAACAGGATAAAGAGGGGTCGCCAGGGAGGCTACTGGAGCTTGCTGGTCTCAGGGCAGGCCTCTCCTGAGTAGGTGACCTTGGGGCTGCAGCCTGAATGATGTGGAGAAGACGCAGCATGCCAGGCAGAGGGAAGAGCGTGTGCAAAGGCCCAGAGAAAAGAGCAGCTGGGTGCATTCGAGGAACCGGAGAAGGCCGGTGCGGCCAGGGCAGAATGAGGGAGGCGCAGAGTGATAGGGTGTAAGGCTGGAGTTACGTGAGGGCCTTGTAGGCCATGGTTAGGGAATATGGATCTTATTCTAAGGTAAACAGAAATCCACTGGAGGGTTTAAAGGAAAGGAATGGCCTCCTAACTCTATCACTTATTCTCCAGCGGATATTAATTAACCCATCTCCTGTAAGAAGATTCTTGGCTGGATGTTAATGAGCCCATCCCCAGTAACACAGCTGTGTGTTGAACATCTGGAGTCCAACAGTTAGAACCCTACACACGCATCAGCAACACCGACTTTCAGTTCCTCCAGTGTCTAACACAAGCCGTCACTTAACTGCCATTTGAATGTTTTTCCACCGGGGCCTGAAAATGACATTTGCCACTGCTTGATGTCAAAAATTATATAACACTCATGTATGGACCTACATAGGTGTTCCCTTCCTAAAACCCACGTGCTATGCTGCCTGTCAGGCTACAGAGACTACAGTCATCAAGGGAATCGGATCCTGGTTAGCAGCTCTTTTCTCTGCACTGGAATAAATACAGGGAAGAAAGTTACCCAGCTGCAACTCCTAATAAATAATAGCAGTTATAAAGCACCCACTATAGGCCAAGGGCAGGAGAAAAATGTGACAATCTGCTTCCATAAAGATTTCAGCCTTGGAAACCCTGCAGGGCAATTCTACTCTGTCCTATAGGGTCACTGTAAGTCGGAATCGATTTAACAGCAATGGGTTTTGGTACGCCAAGGAACTTTCAAACCTAAGAGACTTACTTAAACCTTACTACAAGCCTGAGAAGTGGGTATTACAATTCCAATTTTAAATGAGAAAACTGAGGCTCAGAAACATTAAATGAACTTCCCCAAGTTTCCAAAACCAGTGTACTTTGCCCTATACCAACGGCTGCCCCAAATCACCCTTCAAAGTTAGCATTTAATGTGGGACCAGGACCAGTAACTCTCTGAAATAAAGTTGTAATTTCACTAAGGGATTTTAAATGCTTCTAGATTATGCCTTCCATAATTGGTGGGCAAATCAAGAAGCAGAACAGGAAATATGATTTGACTGTGGTTATAATACTGTTGGTATGCTAATCCACCTTGCTTTCTACAAGACTACTGTTCTTCCAAATGAGAGCATCTTCACAAGCCGCACATACCAGAGTGATTGCATGAGAAAGGGAGCATCTCAGCATATAGCCCGTCTGCCTAAACTCAATCGCTGACACGTCCTCTTCCAGAACTTCCACCTCCAGACTCTTGTTCTTCCAGCACCAATCCTCATGCATGATGCTTACTGGAAAAGCACGCAACACAGAGACACCTGAGCAGAGAGCAAACCACCTCCCCTCCACACCAGCAGAAAAAACAACAATGAATTAACTAATTAAAAAAGAGAGAAAGAGCTAGCATTGTTAAGAACAAGTAACTGCTAAAAAAAACCTGAAACCAATGGTCATTAAAATCACCAAGAAAGAAATTCGGTTGGACCTAAAAGACCAGGCTGCAAACAAGATATTTAAGGACCACAAACTTTTTTTGTAAAGGGCCAGAGAGAAAACACTTTAGGCTTTGAGGGCCACATGGTCCTGATCATTCAACTCTGCCACTGTAGCCTGCAAGTAGTCAGTCATAGACAATGTATAAACAAAAGGCCATGGCTGTGTTCTAATAAAACTTTACTTATAAAAACAGGCAGTCAGCCCTCAAGCCACAGTTTGCCACCCCCTGATATAACAGAAAATATAATTTCTTAAAATAAGCAGTCTATAAGTTATTCACTGCCAGCAGCTCCACAATGATCTTTGAAAAAGCAAAAATACTGGCAACAGATGGTTTCTTAAGAAGGATGGAGAAAAGGGAATAAACATTTGCCAGCACGTACTACCTATCAGGCCCTATGCAAGGGTTTTATAAACTCTATTCATTTAGTCTTACATGCTGCATAAAAGTTCTCTTATTCCTATATACAGATGAGAAAACTGAGTCTCAGAGGAACAAGTAACTTGCCAACATCACAGGGCTGCTAAGTGGTAGAACACATCAGTGGAATTCTCTCACCCTCTCGTCTGGCATTTAAAGTAAAATGGCATGAACCAGGGCAAGTGGGCTGTTCTGATAAGGTAGCAGTTGGTTCACAGTGTCTCAACTCCTGCATTATTGCCCAGCGCTACAGGTGAAGGGGCAAAAGAGTTGAACAAGCAATTGTGACACAATTTGCAAGTTGGGTTTTAGAGAGCCAGGAAGCGGGAGGGCCATGAGCTGCTGCGTTCAGTTCTCACTTTTGTATTTTCCGGGGAGTACGCTGTCAAACATGAAAGTCATCGAGTTGACCTTGCCAGAGAGCTGGAGGCTCCGCTTCTCGCCCTGGCGGCTCAGGGACTGCAGGGTCACCAGCAGATCACCGCAGGTATCTGCAGAGAAAAGACGCAAGGGGGAGCTGCAGAGCTGAGGCCCAGCCAAGGGTCTCATCTGACTGCCCTCACAGACCATAGCGCATGTTCAAATCCTCAACCAGTGTGCAAACTGCTATCATTTAGCTCTGGAAAAGCAGAGCCAGGAGGCTTTCTTTAAACCTAATATGCATCTACTCAACTCTAAGAAGTCTCCCTCCATGCAAGTCATCAGTACCAGACAGTGAAGGCCACCGTGGTGAAGGAGGGACCATCATTCACACATACCCCATGTGAGCCAGAGGAGAAGAGAGGAAAGGGAGAGCAACACTTATGCAGCACCTACTAAGCGAAACACAAAAGGAGACAGAGAAAGAAACAATCGTGGAGCACCAGCAGGAGTCAGAAGAAAAGACAGAAAAGGTGATGAAACATTTATTGAATACCTACTGCATACCAAGCACAGGACTAGGGCCTTTATAATGATAATAATAGCAACAAAGACTTACATGGTTTTTGCTATGTTCCAGGTACTGTTCTAAAGGCTACACATGAACTAACTCATTTAATCTCCATAACAACCCTATAAGGCAGGTACTATTATTAGTACTTACCTCAGGTACTAAGAAGTAACTTAGCCCAGGTCACACAAGCTAAGATTCAAGTCCATGCAGTCTGGTTCCAGAGTCTATGCTCTTAACCACTGTGCCCAATGCCTCTTGATATTATCACATTTAAGCTTCATTAAAACCCTCTGAGAGGAATAGTATTCCAAATTCACAAAAGAAAAACTGAGGCTGGGCAAGTACAATGCGTAAGGTTTCACAGCAGGAAAGTGACAGTTGGGATTGAAACCTGGGCCTAATCCTGTCTCGCTTTGAGAGTCAACCAGAGGGCAAGCCAAAGTAGAAATAGTCCAGGAGAAATGTTTCCCGTCATCACTGTAGCAATTGTTCAGGAAGAACTACATGCAATCCAGACCCTCAAAAACCACTCCCCAGGAATAGTTTCTGCATTCGCCTTTAACGCTACCCAAGGAGGAAAGGTCACCAAAACCCCACCCTACACGTCTATTTCTTTGAAATGATCTGTTCTTGCCTTCAGTTGACATCTTACCCAAACAAGAGACTTTCCCAGAAACGGATGCCAAAAACTGCACAAAACCCACATCCATCACAGGCCTGTCAGTTACCGTGAGAGGAAACATCTGGGGTTTCAGAGTCAGCCCCGCTCGTGTCTCCACCTCAGGAACAATCACCTGCAGAAACACAAAGAACAACATTAGAGTCTGCACCGGGGTTGCTGCTCCCCGGTCTGCAGAGCACTACAATGTTCATCTGGGCCCAAGGCTAAATATATTCTGAAGGACACAGGTTCATTTCTATGCCTACTTTTACATTATAATCACAATACATCAACAAATAGCCTCGAGGAAGAAAACACATTTCTAATCAAACGTAAAAAATAGTAGACTTCAATATCCTATGGGTGCATACAAGAGCATATCTGGCATAATTCTCCAAAGGCACACAAAGCTGTCACTGACCACCAGTATAGTGACTGAAAACACATACGAAATCCCAGTTCCTCTTCCTGGTTTTAAGCCACACGTAATATAAGCTATGACCTTGCCAACACCATGTGATTGACTTCTTCACAGAATTAAGACATTTTTTTCTTCCTTTTCTTCTGTGTGCCTTTCCCAGGGTAAGAAGAAGGGTTTAGAAAGGGAGCAACAGACACATATTTTATCCCTAGTAAAGAAAAGAGTAAGGAGCCCTGGTGGCATAGTGGTTAAGCGTCTGGTTGCTAACCAAAAGGTCGTTGGTTCGAACCCACCAGCCACTGCACAGGAGAAAAATGTGAGTCTGATTCCATAAAGATTACAGCCTTGGAAACCCTATGGGGCAGTTCTACTCTGTCCTATAGGGTCATGATGAATTAGACTCAACTCAATGGCAACAGGTTTAAAGAAAAGATTACATACAGAATTGTCCTTTCTTGCAAAAGTGCCTCATCATGCTTCCAAAAGGGCTTCCAAAGGCTTGTCAACGTAGCCAACTTTAATATCTAATGTCTAATATTTAACATCTAATAAAGGTACCTGCCAAGTCACACACCTCACTTTTTGGTAGGAGGGAGAGAACCCTGTTCTCCCCACTGTGTCCCCACAGAGAAAAGGATCCCACTCTGGCTTATAGTGGAAGGCAGTATTAGGGTGAACCTCCTCAGCTCTCTCCCTGCCCCTTACTTGCTCTTCCACAGAGGAGGAGGAGAAGCAGCTAATTTCATGGATGGGAGTCGGCGATCCACTGGGAGACCTGGTGTTTCCCAGAGGGCAGGGCCACTGCACTGAAAAGGCAAAGTGGCCCGACCTCTGGTTCTAGCTTGCCTCTTGCCCTCTTAGCCCCATCTGTGTTCAGGCATTCACCCTTAGGGGTAGACCTCAGGCCAGGGTCTCCCTGCTCTTCTGCATGCCTGGATGGATAAAGCCAATTGTGTGCCCAGCTGTCTTCAATTCAGGGTGAGGGAGGAAATGGGTAGCTCCATTTTGGCCTTGGGTCCCAGAACCCATGGACTATGAAAGTTATTGAGCTGCCATTGATAGTTTATTTTGATCTCCTTCTGGATTCATGAATACTCTACAGCAGCAAGAAGGAGGTGCGATTGGCAGCCTGATACTAAACCCAAAACCCACTGCCATCGAGTCCATTCCAACTCATAGCAACCCTATAGGACATAGGAGAACTGCCCCATAGGGTTTCCAGGGCTGTAACCTTTACGGAAGCAGACTGCCACATCTTTCTCCCATGGAGCAGCTGGTAGGTTCAAACCAATGACCTTTCGGTTAACAGCCGAGCACTTAACCACTGTGCTACCAGGACTCCTTAGCCTGGTACTAAGCCCTAATAAACATCATGACTAGAAAAACAAGAGGCCTGTCACATCATTTTTGAACTGGTGGCCTGTCTGCTCTATTAACTATGGCATGCAGGAATGGAAAGACTTCAAAAGAAGAAGCTGTCAGTGAAATGCCCCTTCTCTAACCCCATAATAGCTAATAATAGTCCTTTAGAAAGCATTGCTTTTCTCAAATATCAAATATAACAAAACTCTCATCATACCTGGACGTTGTAGGTCCCCGGTTTTGCTTTAAAACAAAATGATCCATGAGCATCCGTCTCCACGGTGACCAAAGATTTGTCCTTGTCTTGAGATGACAGGACAACTCTGTATTTACTCATCTGCTTGACTGTGTCGGGGAAGCGCTTGATTGATATCTGACCACAGACACTGAACCTGTCCGAAAGAAGGCCATTCAGCCCAGCGTTAAGAACTCAGTCATATAAGAAAAGGCTCTTATCAACCAAAAATACACATCCCTCTTCCCGCCCTCATTCCGGAAACTAGTTTAATCCTAATGAAGAGAAAGAAATGCAGCCCAAATGACTCTGGCTTTCAGAAGCAACCTTCAAAAGGAAGATTGGGCCTCCTTCTGCATAGGAAAGAGGCAGGGCAGGGCAGGGGCCCAAGGCTGTGCTGCTTGTGTCCTGGGGGACATCTGGGAATCCCCCATTGCAGAACCAATTTTCAGAAAATCTGTAGATAATAAAAATGTTTCAGGTAATTGGATCATTGCCAGTAGAGCTGCCTGGGACTCAGAAGGTGGGCTAGTCCTTAAATATAAGGGCTGTAAACTGCCTAAGAAATTGTGGCATTACCCAGCCCTTAAAACATGGCAGCATTATAAAAAACGCCTTCCTCACTTTTGATTATATATAATGCAGAGAAAAAAGCAACCAGAGAGATTTGAGCAGAAAAGGTAATTAAGTTAAAAAATGCAAAGCTAAAATTGAACTCCTTAGGAGCTAGGCGCTACAAAAGCAACTTATAATTGAAAAGCCCTATTAAGGGAATGACTCAAATTTGAGACCAAATGAGCAATGTGTGAGGAACTACAAAGCACACCTCAGAAGCACATGAAAGCCCATCCACTCAGTGATAAAGATCAACAAAGAGTAACATTCTCACAGTGATGCTTTTCGTTTTTTATTAGTTGATCTCTAACGGAAATACTGGACCACAGCTGGAGGCAGGGCAGGATTACCCAATAAGCAAAGTAAGCACAGGCTTTCTTGTGCTTACTTCCTAATCTATAGTGAACAATTTCACATGGGTTTCAGATGTGGTGGTGAGAACCATGTGAAATTGTTCACTACAGATTAGGAAGTAAGCATAAGTAAGCCCATGCTTACCTTGCTCACTGGGTAATCCGTCCTTGTCAGGGACTGTAAATTTGTAAAGAGGCTTTGATTCTGTAGGAAAGTGCTGTGGGGTTAGAAGAGAGACAGATGCCAGTCATACCTACAAGCAGAATCTTTGACGTGGTGGAAAAAAACGTGGAAGTGTTCAATACAGATGATCTGGTAAGCAAGGTAAGCCTTGTGCTTACCTTGTCTGTTAGATAATCTGCCCCTGGCTGGAGGACACCATTGTTTCTTCAACTGGCTAAAAGTTAATCTTAAAGAATCATTTTAAATAAAAATCAGCTGTTATTTTTTACCAAAAGATAATAAAGAATGCTGGATTCTGACAATTACGGGGCATACTAAATATTGGAACCCCATTGTGCCTCCAGTAAAAACGATGGAAGAAACAACAAAGTAGTGGAATATTTTGTATATGAAACCTAGGAATAATTAATAGTAAGCACAGTCATTTCTTTAGAGTAAAGTTAACTAGCCTAGCCACAGAGCTCACAATCTAGAGCAGGGGTTGGCAAACTACAGCCCACGGGCCAAACTGGGCCCACTACCTGTTTCTGTATGGACCGCAAGGTAAGAAAATAGTTTTTACATTTTTAAATGGTTAAAAGGAAAAATTCAAAGGAAGAATAATATTTCCGGACACATAAAAAATGTCATGGAATTCAAATTTCAATGTTGATCAAGTTTTACTGGAACATGGCCACACCCCTTCATTTATGTATTATCTATGAAGGCTTTCATGCTACTATGGCAGAGTTGAGGTGTTACCACAGAGACCATATGGCCCTTAAAGACTAAAATATTTACTCTTTGGCCCTTTGCAGAAAAAGTTGCCAACCCTTGATCTAGATTAAAGGTAGGTGTTTTGGTTCTAACGTCCCCATAGTGTGTACTCTGGAATAAAAGGACAGGAAGGGGAGAAACGTTGATGAAATTATTCTGCCAGAACCTTCATAGTCTCTTGATCTGTGAACATGTCAGGGGGACATCACCTTACTTTTTCCCAGTTGAACCTGTCTGCATTCCTAAATTTTAAGTATTTTAACCATAAGACCTATTTTAGCTCATATCCTCAACTGGAGACAAGTGTCTATTTTTTATATACAGTTACCCCAAACCTCAAGTGTATACTGGATTAGTTTGGAAAAATAGCAGGAGAGAGTTCTGCTGTATAGAAGCCCTCAAAAATTGATACGTGTCAATAAATTCTTTCATCAGGGCTTAATACACTTATGGATAGAAATTGATCATTTTGGTGTACAGTGAGGTAGCTATATTCTCATAATCACTTGGTCAGGTGTCAAAAAGTTTGCTTTTAAAATAAATTGAAAAATATTTGAAATTAAAAAAAGAAAAAGTAAGAAATATCAATGAGTTAAAAGGCAAAGATGCTATGCTGGCCCGAAAGGAAAATGGTGAAGTTTTCTAAAGATGCTCAACAAATGTTACTTTCTCTCTTCGATCGGAATAATCCATAAATATATCACCAAGGCCTGTTGATTCTCTCTACCAAATCTATCTACTTCTTACTTCCTCCCCTGCCAGCATCCCGGTCCCAGCCACCACCATATCTGTCATGGATTGAATTATGTTCCCCAAAAAATGCATGTGTATCAATTGGCTGGGCCATGATTCCCAGTGTTGGGCGATTTTCCTATATGTTGTAAATCCTGCCTCTATGATGTTAATCAGGGAGGATAGGCGGCAGTTGTGTTAGTGAGGCAGGACTCAATCTACAAGATTGGATTGTGTCTTGAGGCAATCTCTTTTGAGATATAAAAGAGAGAAGCGAGCAGAGAGACAGGGAGACCTCATACAACCAAGAAAGCAGTGTTGGCAGCAAAGCACACCCTTTGGATCCAGGGTTCCTGCACGGAGAAGCTCCTAATCTGGGAGAAGACTGATGAGAAGGTTGACAGAGAGAGAAAGCCTTCCTCTGGAGCTGATGCTCTGAATTTGGACTTCTAGCCTACTAGACTGTGAGAAAATAAATTTCTCTTTGTTAAAGCCATCCACTTGTAGTATTTCTGTTATAACAGCACTAGATAACTAAGACAGTATCTTTTCCCAGACAACAACCACAGCCTTCCATCTGGTTCCTCTACTCACACTCTGGCCTTCCTCCAATCCATTCTCCACACAGCAGTCAGGAAAAAAAAAAAAAACTTCTGAAAATGGCATGATCCACATCACTCCCTGGCTGAAAACTCTTAGACAGTTTTCCGCTGCATTTAGGGGGGATATCCTATCTCCTCAGCATGTTCCAACGTCAGACCTCTCCAACCTCACCAACCATCTCCAGCCATGCTGGCTGTCTTAAAAGCCTCTGTCTCCCCTGTAGGCCTCTGAACATGCAGCACCCTCTGCCTGGAAAGTTCTTTATTTAGCTCGCTTTCAGTCCTTCCTAAGGTCTCAGCAGCCCAGAGAGGCCTTCCATAGCTCCCAATCTAAATTAGGTCTTCTCACAGCACCCCGGTCTCTTCCCTGCACAAAACTCAGCATTATTTAAAATAAACATATTTCTTTGATTTCCACCTCCCCACTAAAGGCAAAGCTTCACAAATGTGTTAGTCTGGTACACTGTTATAAACCCAGCATTTATCACAGTGCCTGCCCCAGAAGAAAACTAAACCCATTGCCGTCAAGTCAATTCCGAATCATAGCAACTACAGGGTGGACAGAGTAGAACTGCCCCACAGGGTTTCCAAGGAGCTACCGGTGGATTCGAACTGCTGACCTCTGCTTAGCAGCAGAGCTCTTTACCACTGCGCCACCAAGGCTCCCTGCCCCAGAGGAGTGGCTTCCTCAGTGACCAAGCCAGTGGGCTATGTTTTTAGGGCTCAGCTCATGAAGTCCCCTGGCGTATCAGACCCTGTCAGGCATTACCTCATGCTTAAAGTTTACTTCCCTAGTTCCTGTGACTCCACATACCCTTGGTTCACCTAAGGCTACCCCTTAAATGATAGCATTCCATTTTTAGCTTACTCTTCTTCTAATTCTACCTGCTCTTACATACTCAGGGTTCTGGCTACCACCTGTGGTCAAATCTTCAGGATTTACAGTCTATCTACCCAAGCATCTATTGGAGAGCTCCACCTGGTGGTCCTACAGACACCTCAGGCCCCAAATGTCCAAAACTGAACCCTCGGCCCCTAACGGGCTCCTCTTCTTACCCACAGCCGGTGTCAACAACACCCATCCTGCCTCTCAAGCTGGGAACCCAGAAACGACCTTGACTTCTCCCTTTCTCTCACCTCCCCAAATCAAATCCTGTTGATTTTAACTCCTAAATATGACTCCAATCTGTCCTTGCCTCCGCTACAGGACAAGCGCTCATCAACTGTTTTCGGGCCTCCTGTGCCCTACTCTTGTCCCCTTCAAGGCCATCATCCACCATGCCACTAGAATGCCCAACTCAGAACAAACATCTAACCATGTTACCTCAATGCTCAAAACTGTGAACTGGCCGTTGGACCCATGGGCAGGAAAAAGCTCCTCTCAGATCTGCGCTTTCTAGCCTTCCCAGCCTCGTCACTCTCCTTTTCCTGCCCAGCACTTTCCACTCCGGCAACATCAGGCTTTAGGTCGACCGCACGTCTTTGCTAATGCTGTCCTCCTGCCAAGTGGACCCTCCACCTGTCCTTTTCAGTTGCTATTTAGTGAGTGTGATGGGTTGAACTGTGTCCCCCAGAAAGATATGTTCAAGCCTTAACCCCTGGTACTTGTAAATGTGACCTTATTTGGAATATGGTTTTTGCAGATGTTAAGCAGTTAACATGAGTCATACAGGAGTAGAGTGAGACCTAATCTAACATGACCGGAAGGGCAAGGAGAAAGGACACACAGCGGGAAGATGGCCATGTGAAGATGGAGGAAGAGACCGGAGTCATGCTGCCATAAGGCAAGGACACCTGAGGTTAACAAAAGCTGGAAGAGGTAAGGAAGGATCCTTCCCTAGAGATTTCGGAGACTGCACAGCCCAGCTGACACCTTAAGTTCAGACTTCCAGCCTCCAAACTCTGAGAGAATAAATTTCTGCTACTTTAAGCCTCCCATTTTATGGTAATTTCTTACGGCAGGCCTCTAAAACCAAGACAGTGAACACCTACTGCTGTCTAAAAGAAAGACAGCAGCACACCATTCTGTACTTTACAAGGCAGGTGAGAGAAAGTTCCGAGATCTGACCCCAAGGCCTGTGTCTCTGCACAACACAAACCTGCTTCACATGCTACAACTATACGAACTCAACCACAGGACGTCCTTTCACACACTTACAGTGGGTAATTACAAAGCAGGAAGAACGAGGACAATAACCCGAAACATCTTAAAACATTCTCAATCAACTATCTTCAGAGGTCCTCAAGATTTAGCCAAGAAAGCTCCCAAAGATGGGAAGCCAGACATGAAAGATCTTCTTCTAACTTAACAAACCCATTTTAACTTTGAAGCAAGAGAACTTTCTTATAAGCATCCAACACGTAACTACCTTTATTTTATAAGATTTAGCAATAATCTTCCTAAAGAAGGCAGCCTGAATTTCCCGATAGGAGTCTAAGACAGGATGTTAATCCTTGGCAGAAACACATATTCAGATTGACTGAAGGTAAATTTGCTCTCCACTGTCTGCCAACATAAGCACTGGATTTCCAAATCCAAACACAACAGCCTTACCCTGTTGCGATGATGTCAGCCAGCTGAGGTGTGTTGGGAGCAATTTTGATTGTAATTGTTTCAAAGTAGAGGTGCTCTTTCTGAGCATGGATGGTGTATGTCCCCGTTGTTATGTTCTCCAGGCGGAACGAGCCATCCGCTTTTGTTTTGACTGGAATACAGAAACAAAAAATGAGTCAAAAAAAATTGCATATCCCTACATATACACAAGAAAACTTGAGGCAAAAAGGTGACATGTTTTCATACAGTCATTAGGATTTTATTTCCTTTTCACTTCTCTCTGTGATCAAGAGAGAGCAATGGCAGAGTCCCAGGAGCCACGTGTCTGCCCACCTTTGATTTGGTTGTTCAGAGTGACGACTGCCTCCGGGACACCTTCTCCCTCAGGTCCATTCAAGACCCTGCCGGTGACGGAGAACCCCATGACGTGGAACACAGGCTGGAAAGTGAAGGAGAGAAGAAGGTCCTTGTTTGCTCGATCCACAAAATCCCTCCCACAACACTTGTGCCATTGCTCACCATGGCCTCCCATGCTGGCCTTCTCCCAGTCCCAGACACCAGCCTGGCTCTCTCTCTAAACTCACCCACACGAGCTGCCCACCCAGAGCACCTCCCCTCGCCGCAGAGGCTGGACAATTCCTACTCATCCTTCAGGTCTCTGCAGAAATGTCCCTGTCCCAGGAAAGCCTCCTCTGAGGCCCAGATGGCACCCCATCCCACATCACCTGCTCTGTTAGCACAGTTTACCTCTCCTGCATAACAGTTCTCACAAGAACAGTTTGAATATTTGTGGGATAATTTGATGTCTATCTGCCTACTAGACTGGAAGTTAGTGAGATCAGGGGCCATGTCTGCCTACTTTGTTGTAGTCCCAGTGCATTGGCATTTCTGAAATGATGGAAGAAAAAAGACCTATAGACTTACTTCTGAGTCAGTGATATCGGACTTGTGAAAACTTCCCTAGCCTTGCTCCCTTCCTGGTTCCTCCTCTCCGGTCTCCCAAGCTTAAATCCCAGGATCAACACAGGCACCCCTCCTGCACCTGCAACATCCACCAGTCCCATGGATTCCAGCCCTGCAAGGCCTCACTGCCCTTCTCCTCCATCCTTTCTCACCACAACCTGAATTCAAGGCCTCACTGCCTCCACCTAGACCACCTTACTCAACCCTCGGCCGCTTACACTTGACACCTGACTCTCTGCACTTAACAGACAGCTCTGGACTGGCAGTTGGCGTGTGCCGGTGCCCTACGCCTGTGAGTACTGTCTCTGCTTTCTCTGCAGTCAGCCTGACTTCTGGCTCTGCAAGTACACCACAGACACCCCTCGTGTGGGCTTTCACACCAGCTGCTCACTCAGCCAGGCTCATTCTGCTCCCACATCTAGAGAAGTCTGGGAGGAGGCCAACTCCTTCTCATCACTCATGTCTCAGCTCAAACTGTCACCACCTCCAAGAAGCCTTCCCTGACTATCCCACCTCAAGTAGCCCCTCTCCCCTGCCCCAACCAGTCACTGTCTACCACACTAACCTATTTTATGATTTTCACCAAACTTAACAATATCTGAAATGTCCCTGCTCGATTTCTTATTTTATAGTTTGTCTCCCTCCCTCTAGAACATAAGCTCCATGAAGATAGGAACCTTTTCTGTCTTAATCACCTGGTACACAGTAAGCACTCAATGAATGACTCTTGAACGAATGAATGAATGCAACTGCATTTAAGATAGAGCTTTAAAAAAATAAAATGAATTCCTTCTAATTCAGGAAGCCCTTCTTGATCCTTCCAAAAAGATACGGCCCATCTAATCCATTCATCCACTTATTAATTCATATATTCACTCAACAAAGATTTTTATGAGGCAACTACTATGTGCCTGGCACTAAATCATGTTAGGAATATGGTACAGAACAGGACTCTAACAGTTCCTGACCTCAAATCGCTTAGAGGCCCACCCTCTCCCTGAAATTCCCACTCGGCTCTCTCTTTAAAAACAGGGATTTGGCCTTGATGAAGGAATGTCTTCCCACTCACTCACTGCCATCCTTCTCTCCCCTGACTTTGTCTGCTCACCTTTCGAATCCTCCCTCCAGCACACAGCAGAACAGTCAAATGCTTTACTGAATCTTAAAAAGCAGAGTCAGCACCCCACTGTGCATGGGACCAAAAAGCTAGCTCCCACCAGTTTAAGCCACTTTCACACAGTACTTTCAAATTTAGCATTAAAAGAAAACGATTAAAATATAATTTTTTCAATAACTCTAACACTGGGTGGTCCATTCGTGAAAGAATTTTATTTTCTTTTGGGATTTGCTCTATCTAGCAAATTTTCCACAGCAACAGTTTTGTACTTCTGTAATTAAAGAAGACATACACATTATAAAAAAGCATTTAACATCTATTTGAGGGTCTAGGAGGCTTATTAGGCACATATTCCCCAGTCCATTCCTAGCGCCGCAGTCCAAGCTCTGTCAGCTCTCACCTGGCTAACTGGTCTCTTGCTTCTCTCCTGCTCCCTGCAAACTCTTCTCAACCCAGCAGCCAGAGGAACACATTTGCGACGTGAGTCAGATCACACAGCTCCTCTGCTCAGGACACTCCAGTGGTGCCAATTCTCACTCAGAGTAACAAGCAAAGTGGCCACCAGGACCTGTACATCTGGCCCCATCACCTCTCTAATCTCTTCTCTCCCTTACCCCCTCTCTGACCCCGCTCCAGCCATCCTGGCCTCCTTGGAGTTCCCAAACACTCCAGGCACACTCTTGCCTCAGGGCCTTTGCACTTGCCATTCCCTCTGTCTTAAACGCTCTTTCCATAGGCGTAAGCACCTCCACAGTGAGGGCTTCCCTGGAACATCCTACATAAGGAAGACTGCAGCTCCTGCCTCTACGCGAAAATTACGTAATCGCCTTTCCTGCCTTATTTTTCTAGAGAACACGTATCACCTTCTAACAAGCTTGACGGGGTCGCCGTGCGTCAGAACCAACTTGACAGAAACTAACAATAACAATTTGCTTTAGAACTCACCTCCCTGTAACTCACTACAACAAGAGCTCCACAAGGACAGGAATTTTTGCTTTCTTTGGTCACTGCTGTACACCCAGCCCTAGAACAGCACCTGACAGGTACATCATAGGCATTCAGTAAGTAGATTTTGCTGAATAACATAGGCTATAACCAGGGGCCCAATTTTCCCAAAATGAAAAAGCTATGTGAGAGAAATGAGAGATCTAGTGAATCCAAGGCTAAACTACGTTACAGTACAAGATTTTATTTTTTCCAACAATCCTAAATAAAATATTGTTTTTTGTTTTTTTTAATATGTTTGCAACACCATTGCCCACAGATGGGGACTTGAACACCTCTCCCTCCAGAAGACAGGGAGGTCTTACCTCAATTTTCAGGCTGTCATGTTCCACTCTGAAGTCAAGTCTGGAAGGAGCAACATCAAAAGTAATCCTCTCCCCTCTATAGAACGGAACCTGGAAGGAAGCATTGGTTAATTACTGACAGCCAAGAGCGCGACTCCACCATCAATATTAACAATCGATCTAACAGCCCACAAATGACTAGGGGTTCAAGGCAAGCCAAGAGAAATTATTAATCATAGCTGCTGCCAATTTTAAAGGAGGAAGCCCTGCACTTTCTGCAGTTATTACTGAGGGGTCAGTCTCATCATAACCCACTGCCTGCCGTCGAGTTGATTCTGACTCACAAAGACCCCATAGGACAGGTGAGAACTGCTCCACAAGGTTTCTCAGGCTGTAATCTTTACGGAAGGAGACTGCCACATCTTTCTCCTGTGGAGCGGCTGGCAGGTTCGAACTGCCAACGTTTTGGTTAGCAGCCAAATGCTTTAACCGCTGAGCCATATTAACTGTTAAAAAGAATGTTCACAGAACTGCAGCCCAATCACTTGTTCCTTTAACACCCAAATGGCATAGGCTATTTCTGTGTCATAAGGGCCCCAAACATAAGCAGAATGGAAATCTGCTTCACTCACCACTGTATAGTCCCCACTTGGCAAGGAATAGAAGGAGAACGAGCCATCTTCTTTGGAGACCACATAGCACAAATACACCAGAGTCTCGTCTTGGGGCTGGAACCCAGGCACTGGTGAGACATTGCAGCCCAGGACATCCTATGCCAAGAAAAAGCAAGACTTCCTTTTCCACTTATATGTTCTGATCATCATCCAACAGCCACACCAAAGGAAAACTTTTACAAGTTTTATATTGCAAAATACATATTTCTGAAATATAGAACATGTTAGTACACATAAAAGGAACACAAATCTTTACATGCAAGTTGAAAAATCAAAAACTGGCACAGTTCTCAGAAAAAAATGACCTAATTGTCCTTCCCTACAATGGGTCACCATCCTCAAAATAAGGAAACAGGTGATGTAACTTGTTCAAGATCACAGCTAGTAAGAGGCAGATCTGGATTTAATTGAACCTGGGTCTGTTTGATTTCAAAGCCCGTGCAGGTTCTACCAAACTTCACTGCCTCCTACTGTAGATCATTACATTTCTTACGAGTCAAATGAAACACCAAAACCAAACTAGTTATCACCGAGTCAATTCCGACTCAGGGCAACCACACGAGTTGCAGAGCAGAACTGTGCTCCACAGGGTTTTCAGTGGCTGTGATCTTTCAGAAGTAGATCACCAGGCCTTTCTTCCAAGTACCTGTAGGTGAATTCAAACCACCAATCTTTCGGTTAGTAGCCGAGCGCTTAACGATTTGCGCCACCTAGGGATTCCCTGGAATGTTATGTTGCTGTTGTTGTCTGATTCATGGTGACCTCGTATGTACAGTAGAACTGTGCTCCGTAGGGTTTTCAATGGCTGATTTTTTGGAAGTAGATCACCAGGCCTTTCTTCTGAGGTACCTCTAGGTAGACTCTAACCTCCAATCTTTCCGTTAGCAGCCAAGCACATTAACTGTTTGCACCACCCAGGGACTCCTAACCGAGATACACAGGTTCTTAAATGTTAAGACTATAGATAGATCAACTTTAACCTGCATTTAAAACATTCTCAGTCCATGCCCCACCCCTACACACACACACACACACACACACACAGAATCTCTTTTGTTCTTAACTTGTCTTTGCTTACCTCTTTGCTTACTAAAGAAGAAAAGAGAAGAAACTTCACCCCTTTCATAGGTTCCCCGTCACTTCGAACAGAGCCAGACACATTATAGCCGGCAACGATGAGGGGATTGGCTACGTTGGCATTGGAGTTGGTTACGCGCACAGTGGTGCTAGCCTACAAAAGAAAAAAAGCTTAACTTTCAAAAAAAACAGAAACATCTGCAAAGTGTCTAACAACATGAAGATTTGCTTAAACTAAAATATTAAGTAGGGAAAAAAGTAACATAAAATTGTATACACAGAATGCTTTCAACTGCTTTCTTAAATGCACAGAATGAAGTGGAAGAAAATGGGGCAAAACACAAATACTGATCTCCTCTACATGGCAAGATTTTGCTCCTTTTACACGTTTTCTAACTTAGTTTTCACTCCTTTATACCCTTCCAAATGTTTCAAGTTTTTAGAATGAGTATGCTTGACCTTTTTTTCCATGTTTAATGGTATATATGCATATATTTTTTAACTTTTTACTAAAGTATCATTTACATGCAGAAAAGTGTACATATCTTAAGTGTACCATGCAGTCATTTGAACAAACTGACTACACTGAACACACATGTAGCCAGCCACCCAGAAGCCCTCCTCACACTAGTTTCCTGTTACTGCCAAAGGCAACCATCACCTGACTTCTAACAGTATGATTTACTTTTAGAATAATACAATTTTGTATTAATAAACTCAAGTTCCTTTATGCATGCAATTAATATACTCTGTAAATCTTACGATTTATTCTATCTATAATGTGTAAGCAATTTAGTTGAAAATAAAACATTTTAAAATGCTGTCCCGTACGAGAAAAATACTGAAAAACAAAAGTCATGAGCATTATACAGATACAACCAAAAGTGAAATCCTACCATCAATTATAAACACAGAAAACTTACAGAGTAAAAACGAAACTGCTGGTTTGGATACTCCCTTAACAAGAATGGGACGGAGCCTCAAATCTAATATAAAAGCTAACCTGTTGAAACTTCCCCTAGGTCTTACTTCAACTGCTAAGAATTTTCGTTTTTCAATGATTACAAAACTTTACCTAGTATGTTTCTTCCTTTTTTAATTATTTATTATAAACTATTTGGGGGAAACAAAAAGATATATAAAATACTACAATGAATACCTGTACACCCTCTAGCCAGCTAAAGAAATAAAAGAGCAGAAATATAACTCAAGACCCTCGTGTACCTCTGCACACCCCTCTTGTGATCTCTTCCTGCTACGGACGTCAGTGTTATCATGAACAAGGCGTATGTCATCCCCATGCATGTCTTTATAATTTTTCCAATGTGAATGTATCCGTAAGTGGTATTATCATGGATTTTTTTTTTTTTATTGTACTTCAGGTGAAGGCTTACAGAACAAATAGTTTCTCATGAAACAGTAGTACACGTTGTTTTATGACATTGGTTAACAACCCCACAACATATCAACCCTCTAAATTCTCAACCTTTTTTTTTGGTGAAAATACACATAGCCAAAGATACACCATTTCAAAAATTTCTACATGCACAGTTCAGTGACATTGACTACGCTCTTTGAATTGTGCTGGTATTCTCACTTAAGATGAAGGCTTACGAACAAAATAGTTTCTCTCTTAACAGTTACTACAAATGTTGCCCTATGACAATGGTTAACAATCTCATAACACATCAACAATATCCTTACTCAAACTTGGGTTCCCTATCACCAGCTTCCTTGTCCCCTTCTGCCTTCTGGCCCTTGTCACTGGACTCCTGTACCTCATTAGTCTCATTTGGTTTTACGGGGCTGTCCACTCCCAGGCTGAACAGTAAACCTCGGAGGTAACTTCACCACTGAGCTAAAAGGGTGTCTGGGGGCCATACTCTCGAGGTTTCTCCAGTCTCCTTTAGGCCAGTAAATCTGGTCTTATTTTTTGTGGTTAGAATTATGCTCTACATCCTTCTCCAGCTCTGTCCAGAACCCTCTGTTGTGATTCTGGTCAGAGCAGTCAGTGGTGGTAGCCGGGCACCATCTAGCTGTACTGGACTCAGTCCGGTGGAGGCCTTGGTAGCTGTGGACAATTAGTCCTTCGGACTAATCTTTTCCTTGTATCCTGTTCTCTTCATTTTCCCTTGCTCCCGAAGGTATGCGACCAGTGGAGTATCTTAGATGGCTGCTCACAGGCTTTTAAGACCCCAGACACTACTCACCAAGGTAGAATGTAGACCATTCTCTTTATAAGCTGTGTCATGCCAATTGAGCTAGATGTTCCCCGAGACCATATCATGGATATTTTTAATCATTTTATGAGCAGTATCATATTTCCTTATCCTTCAGCAACTTGCCTTTTTCTTTCAACTTAAGGTTTTTAAATGTAGTCATATTGATATATATGTAGTTCTGGTTCATTTACTATTGCTGACGCACAGAATTTGATTGTGTGATGAAACACAATTCCATCTCCATTTTCTTTTTTTTAACGTGCTTTAAGTGAAAGTTTACAGCTCAAGTTAGTTTCTCATACAAAAATTAATACACACTTTGTTATGTGACCCCAGTTGCTCTCCCTATGATGGGACAGCACACTCCTCCTTTCCATCCCAGATTCCCCATGTTCATTCATCCAGCTCTTGTCCCTTTCTGCCTTCTCATCTCGCCTCCGGACAGGAGCTGCCCATTTAGTCTTGTGTATCTACTTGAGCTAAAAAGCACACTCTTCATAAGTATCATTTTATGTCCCACAGTCTAGTCTAATCCTTGTCTGAAGAGTTGGCTTCGGGATCCATTCTCTTCTTAATGGACCCTTAGGTTGTTTACAATTCTTTGCTATTACAAAGCTACCATAAACATTCTTAGACATTCTCCTTGGGTATATGGGCAAAAGTTTCTAGAACAATCAGTACATTTATAGAAGTCTGTTTGAGACCAAAAAAAAGAACAGAAATAAATTTCATCAGGTCCTTTTGGTGTTGATTTAGCTTAAAATAGCTGTAGTTAAAAACAGACCTACTTTACAGCAGGAAGACAACAATGTCATCATGTAAAACCGAAACCAACATAGGCAACATCCGCTACTGAGAAGGAGTTTACCTTCTAAATACCACCAATAATCAGTGACACCAGAGATAATAAAATTGTTTCTCCATCTACTTCCAGAAAAACCATAAACTCATTTCATACCCTAAAGTGAAAGAAAACCCCTACACTTCTCCCCAGACTGGCACATTATTAGCGTGGCTATAGACGTAACAGAAACACTCACCTCTTTCAACGCCCAGGTTGGGTGAGTCGCAAGGATTTCATAGTCTCCAGGAAGAACTTTAAAAAATGCAAACCTAAGAAAGACAAAATACCACTTAACATTCTCCTAACAACCCAAGCACTTCTAATTGTATGAGTAGTACTGGTAGCACAAGAAAATGTCTGAATTATCACAAACTTGCCATTAGCTGTGAATTCTGAATGAATGACATTCAACGCTTCACTATACAAATCTGCATCACGCTTACTGAGCACCTACTGTGTACAAGAGTAGATAGTATTCCTTGTGCTAATAAGAAGGAGAGTTCATTTTTCCCCTTCATCTGAAGGATTTCTGGCATAAAACCAGTCACTATAATTTAGCAGGGATCAGTCATAGAACAGTCTAGTGGGTTTTGACAGAGGTGTTAGGCATGAACAGGCAAGGAGAAGGGAAGTGACGTGTCCAAAGAAACAAGTGGGAAAGGAGAAGTCACATGTAAAGAAGAGAGAGCAGGCGGAATTGGCTAAGGCCCTCAAGATGACACGCTGGTGATACGGGTAAGGCAAATAACAAGCTCTGAATTCTACGGAAAAGAGTTTAGATTTGTTATCAGAATTAAATGTAAACCACTGTGGGTTCTTATGCAAACCAGCTGTGATGAAACCAGCAGCTGACGAAGATTACTCCAGTAGCTACTGGCAAAATAAGACCAGGGGGTGACGAGCTGAAGGCTGGAAATGCTACTGCAAGGACTGTGACGTTTAACCCTTCAAACGGGCAAATGAAACCCAATGCCGAGTCGATTTCAACTCATAGCGACCCTATAGAACAGACGAGAACTGCCCCACAGGGTTTCCAAGGCTGTAATCTTTATGGGAGCAGACTGCCACATCTTTCTCCCGCCGAGCAGCTGGTGGGTTCAAACTGCCAACCTTTCAGTTAGCAGCCAAGGCCTAACCACTTCCACCAGGGCGCCTGTCAAATTTGCAACGTACCTGACAATTAGAGAGCTAATTCTAATGAAATGAACTGCAAAGATTATTCCATTGTTTCTCTTGTGGTGGTATTTTATTCTATCAAGGACTGCCTGTAGTAACTGGATAGGATTTGGAAGTCATTTTGCGACAATAAAATTGAAATCACCATTGGATTTGGTCTTAGTAAGATTTATCCTGTGCTTCATTTCCACAGTACCCCAGTTTTGCAAGTCGCTATCAGAGTTTTAGTTAGTGCCCACAGAAGAGATTCAGAAAGTTCAAGCCACTTGAACAAGATTGATAGCAAACTATCAGCCTTGAGAAAATTAGAGTTCCACCTTCCTTTACAGACCAGGACTACAAAGGTCTAGAGAGGTGATAACCTACCACAGGTAGTCCCCGACCTACAACGGGGTTCCCTTCCGAAGACTCTGTCATCAGTCAGTTCTGACGTAAGTTGAATACCTCATTTTTTTTTCTTTTTTAGTTTTCATTATTATTGCCTTTTATTATCAGTATCTTTATAAATCATTGCACATCTGCAAGTGAACATCTGAGAAAGATAACGTCAGCACATTCACGTGCTACAACACTGTATGTAGTACATATTACTAACAATTATACAAACAAAAAAAACAGACGATCGTAAGTGCAGTTCATAATAATTCTAATACATCGTAAGTCGGGGACTACCTGTACAAGAAAATGTTATCTCAAAATGAAAAATAATTTCAATAATAATAATTGATGGCTTACTGACAAACTCATTATAAACCTCTATTTTGCAGTGTGGTCACTTTTGTATGTTAAAGCAGTTAGTAATGATTTGTTTTGAAAATTACCAGCCTGAACTATTCTGATATAAATCTGACACGTCTGTTAACGTTTACATGAACCCATTAAATAAAGGTTTTAAATTTGACTCTACAAGGTTAATTAAATAGCTATCATAGTTCTAACCATAAAATGTTTTTGATGTAATAGTGATAAACGGATTTTTAAAAATCACAACTGAGCTAACCTATACTGAGCTAAAATTTATTAAGCACTTACTCCATGCCAGGAGCCCTGGTGGTGCAGTGGCTAAGAGCTCGGCTGCTAACCAAACGGTCAGCAGTTCGAATCCACCAGCTGCTCCTTGGAAACCCTATGGGGCAGTTCTACCCTGTCCTGTAGGGGTCACTGTGAGTCGGAATCAACTTGACAGCAAGAGATTTGGGTTTTTGGTTAACTCTATGCCAGGCAGCTTTAAATAATGATATTAAAATATTAATTCACTTAATCTTCCCAGTAACATTATGAGGTAAGTTCCATGATTATCCTTCATTAATAAATGAAGAAACTGAGGACAGAGGGGTTAAGTAACTTGCCCCAGGTCAAACAGCTAGCAAATGAGGCAGCCAGGATTCAAACCAGGCTGGCGGGCTCCAGAGCCAGCCCCACCCACTAAGCGAAGGCCGGCCTCATGCCAGGCCCTGCAGTAAGTGCTCGATGGGCATTACCTCATATTTAATCATCCCATCAACACTAGGTACCATGGGTCAAATGATTCCATTTTACAGATGAGGGACGTGAGGCTCCCAGGGGCATGAACTTGCCCAAAGTTAAGAGGCCAAACCAGGATTTGCATCCAGGTCTCCCTAAATCCAAAGCTCCTACCCTCACCGCCCCACTCCAGGCACAGGGCAGGGGGACACAGCACCACTCACTTGCCGCCAGGCTGTGTAACTGTTGACTGGATCTTCGCTTCAGTCCCTGTGTTCCTGAGAGAAACCTGAACTCCTGCGGGCCCCAGGGGCTGCCCTTTGCTGAGAACCTGCGGTAGAGAAGAAGGTCAGAGCCAGGCCTAGCAGCATAGCTCTCCTTTCAGCTGCGCTGCCAACCCCACTCACGCTCCCAAGATGGAGCCTGTAATCTACTTGGCATCAAAGGTCCCTTTGAAAATATGATATAAACCATGGAAACCCCTCCGAGGGAGGGACACAGTAATAGTAAAATAAACTTGGTTTCATTAACTCTGAGACACCATCAGTTAAATATGCACCATTGTCTTACAAACTACTAAGAAAGAAAGAATATCCAGGATGAGGGCTGTAATAAGAAACTCACACATAAAGCAGGGCCACCAAAGGGCTACACTCTCAGTGTAAAGAAAAAGGAGAAATAAACCCAAGATGAAAAGGACAGCAAGGAAATTTGCATATCTCAACCCTGGTACTGAGTGGAAGGAGAAAAAAACAAAATCTCCCCCGAGAATCTGAACCAAGAGCTGCTATTCAAACAGGTTTGCAGTCTACATTCACACCACCAAGGTGGTCCAAAATAACTCAGAGAATTTCATTTAAATACTTGAGAGTATCCATGGGTGAAGCAAATGGAATCCTTGCTGGAAGAAACCAACTTCAGTTCACCCACAGTGACTGCAAGATGCCAATGAACATAAAATGCACCCTGATTTCAGAGATGGTAAATGCGAAAAAAACTCTTAAAATCAAAAAAATATGGTATACCATAGTAATAATGTTGAGAGTGGCTGTTCTGTAAGTGCTTACTATGAACACAATGCTAAGTACTCTGCACACATTACTCCATTTAATCCTCGCCAAAGCTCTATGAGGAGGGTACTGCTCTTAGCCCTGTTTCACAGGTGAGGAAAATGAGGCATGGAAAGGTGAAGACGCTTGGCAAGGCCACACAACTAGCAAGAGACAGAACAGGGTTCCAGTCTGGCAGCCTGGCTCCTGAGTGGGTGCCTTAGCTGCTTCCCAGATAGCCAAGAGGGAAACCTTTTCCTGCTCTGCCCTTTCCCAACCTTTGCCCAACCCAAGTGCTGGGGAGTATGCTCCTCTAGCTCCACATCACCCTAAAAGTCCATCCTTGCATTATATTCTAACAGCCTATTCCAAGGCATGGAAGTGGAACAGAATGAATGACCAGTAACCTACACCTGACCCCTTAAAACACCAACTACATTCTACACACAATTTTGTACAGTTCACAGAACCTCTTGAAGCTTATCTGTGGGCTTCTTGTCGGATCAAAGTTCCTGGGTGAAAAGGTCCTTTTTTTTAAAAAAATTAAAAATAAAAAGCTAAGGGAAGACATAGCATATATTACAGAGCAGGTGTTAAAAATAACAGCATTATGAAGCCAAACCTTGCCATTCACAGAGAACCCCGTGAACACAAAGTTGATGTCCCCTCCCTTTGTGCAGATATCACTGACGCCATCCACGTAGAGTTCCACATTCGTTGGCTCTGAAGAATAAAGCGGGGGAGGAGGGAATGGGGGTACAAGACACAAGAGCAACTTTAGTTCTAGGATACAGTGAAACTGCCTAAGTAAAACATGTTTTATTGTTAAGCTTTCATTTTACTTTTTGAGCACTTAATACACTCACACAGTTTAACATCCAAAGGTACAAAAAGGTATGGGGGAAGTCTCCCTCCCATTCCTAGGCCCGAGGCACCCAGTTCCCCACCCAGAGGGATCCAGTGTTACAAGTATAAGATACTTTTTAGTCTTTCAGCTGAGTTGTATCCCAGAGTACCACTGAAAATTCAGTGAGCACCAAACAGTTTTGTTTATGGAATGCTCACCATGAACCAGACACTGCACAAAATGCATTTAATTCTCACAACTATCTGAAGAAGTAGGTAGCACTATCTGTATTTAATGAGGGGTAAACTGGAGGCATAGGAAGGTTAAAGGACCTCCTAAGGTCACAGAGATTGTGAGTAAGAGTCCCAATTCAACTCCAGAAAGTCTGCCTCCAAACCTGTGCCCTGACCAAGGATGGGAGCTCACAGCGCTAAACTAGGGCAATAAACGCCAAAGCCCATGGGAACCAAGGGGGAATAGACGGGCAGCGCAGACCAAGGGGGTCACAGCAAACTGACAGAGGCAGCCGCTGCTCAGCTCCTATCAACTGTTGCCATATGGTCCAGTGTTGCCAGAGCTTCCAACTTCCCAAGAAAAGATGGAAATCTGGATTTTTATGTTCAATTTCCCAATTTTGCAATATTAACAACTAACTCCATTTTTTAAAACACTGAGGAGCTCATCATAGCAGGAAAATACAGAATGATAAGTAGGGGGGAAAATCATGAGAATTTCAGGTGCAATGAAGAAAATACACAAACACAGGAGAACCGAATGGAAAATGGTCAAAAAGACTTGAAAAGGCACCTCCCAAGAGGCTATCCAAATGTCCAATAAATACATGAAAAAGTGCTCAATCTCATTGGCCATCAGAAAAATACTAATCAATACCACAATGAGATAACCACCAAACCTCTACCAGGATGGCTAAAATTAAAAAGACTGACCATACCAAGTGTTGGTGAGGATGTGAAGCAACTAGAACTCTTGTACATTGCTGGCAGAGCATACAGTGGTACATCCACTTTTGGCTGTTTGGCAGTATCCAGTAAAGCTAAGCATGTACAAATTCTATGACCAGCAATTTCACTCCTAGTATATGCCCAATGGAGTCCCTGAGTGGTATAAATGGTTAATGTGCTCTGCCACTAACCAAAATGTTGGAAGTTCAAGTTTACTCACAGGTGCCTGGGAAGAAAGGCCTGGGAATCTACTTCCAAAAACTCAGCCATTGAAAATCCTATGGAGCACAGTTATACTCTGACATACACGGGGTCCCCATAAGTCAGAGTCAACTGAATGGCAACTGGTTACATGGCCAATGGAAATGTAAACACGTATGTACCAAAAGACATGTATAAGAATGTTCACAGGAGCACTATTCTTAGCAGCCAAGAACAGGACACAATCCACATGTCCATCAACAGTAGAATGGATATATCATTTTATATTCATACATCAGAATTCTGTACAGCAAAGAGAAAGAACAAAGATTAGCTATACAAAATATAGATCTCTCACAAACCTAATGCTGAAAGAAAGAAACCAGATATTAAAAAGTGTACAAAAAGTGTAAAAACAGAGAAAACTAACGTAAAATTTTAGGAGTCAGGGTGGTAGTTACCCATGGGGTGGGGCAGGGTATTAGTGAGTGACTGGGATAGGGTACTTCTTGGGTGCTGGCAAAGTTCTCTTTCATTATCTGGGTGAAAGTTATGTGGGTGTGTCCACTTAGTGAAAACTCATCACATTTTATACTTATGATCAGTACACTTTTCTGTATGCATGTTATAATTCAAGTAAAAAAGCTTACTAAAAGAAAAAGCACTGGTTAGGGGAAGGACAAAATTCTCCCACAGGCTGCTAATTTGTAACCTCTGCTTTAACCATGGTTGTTGTTGTGTGCCGTGGAGTTGATTTTCAACTCATAGTGACCCCACATGACACAGGAGAACTGCTCCATAGGGTCTCCTAGGCTGTAATCTTTACAGGAGCAGATCACCAGGTCTTTTCCCCTTCAGAGCTGCTGGTGGGTTCAAACTGGGGACCTTTTGGTTAGCAGACAAGTGCTTAACCACTGCACACCAGGGCTCCTGCTTTAACCATTGTTGTTGTTGTGTGCCGTCGAGCAGACTGACTCATAGCAACCCTACAGGACAGGGTAGAACTGCCCCATAGGGTTTCGTGGGCTGAAATATTTACGGATGCAGATCATACATCTTTTCTCACACACAGCAGCTGGTGGGGTTGAAATTCCAACCTTTTAGTTAGCAGCTGAGCACTTAACCACTGCACCACATTAGCTGGGTTTAATTCCCCTCCACCATTTTGAAATACACCCGTGTGCTGGATTAATTACTTCTGTGTGTGGTCTTTCTAGCCATGGCCTTGTAACTCCCACCCAGGTGATTGTGTGATAGGGTAATTTTGGCCGACCAAAGGGATAGGTCAGCTTCGCCTTAAAACAAAGCCAATTCCAGAGCAGGGAGGGGGAACCCACCACCACCAAGGAAGGAGAGACCTGGCAGCAGGAGATGGTGTGGTGGGTTTCCCAGCCAACGGAGGGAGAAAGCTAAGTGCCTTTGGGCAGAGACTGAGGGCCAGGGAGGGGCACGCCTGAAAGCACAGCTGGGAAGAAGCTATCCTAATGGAAGAACTGTATCTTGAGTGTTCCTGAGCCTGAATTGTAACTGTTATTCCCTAATAAAGCCCATAATCATGAGTATGGTCTGTGAGTTCTGTGTGGCCACTGCAATGAATTATCGAACCTAGTAGAGAGTGCTGTGCGAAGGACGGATGGGGTCGGAATTAGTAAAGATGGTGGAGAGAGGAGGCTTGTGTGGCCTCCACCTCATGGGAGTCAGCCTTGTGCTATTGATCTCGGCTCCCCCTCCCCTTTACGGGGCTGGAGGAGGTCAGACGCCGCCTCCAAGACGTTTTTACAAACAGCGAGGTACACTCCTGACTAAGATCTGAAAAAGAACCTCTCTCACAGGGCCAAATTAGCTCTCGGCTGCCTGAGCTTCACTTTACCCCTTCATGACAGTTGAGACTAAATTCTTCCTTCTCTAACTCGTAAGCAGGCCAAGTATGGGAACATCTGTGGCTCCCCTGTCCTCTCCTCCCCAAGCTGTAAAACTGGGATCACATACACCCACTCTACCAAAACGTCAAGGAGAGAAGAGTCTCCTCTTCAAAGACTTCAGCCATGTCAATGGAACCCTGTCTTCTGATCCCAACGCCACTCCCACCTCTTCAACTATTCTACTCAGTATTAACTGAGTGCTTACTAATTACGTGCCAGCCATTCTGAACACTTAAATATGTTGGCTCATTAGGCCTCCAAGTACCCTGTGAGGCAGGTACTGTAACTATCCTGGCTCCACAGGTGAGGAAATAGAGGCTGACAAAGGGGAAGTAAGGAGGTGCCCCGGAAGGCATGGCCCCTGGACTCTCTATCAGCCCAGAACTAAAACAATTTCTTAGGCCAACTCTTCCGACAGGGATTGGACTGGACTGTGGGACATAAAGTGATACTCGTGAAGAGTGTGCCTCTTAGTCAAGTAGATACAAGAGACCAAAGGGGCAGCTTCTGCCCAGAGGTGAGATGGGAAGGCAGAGAGAGTGAGGAGCTGGTTGAATGGTCATGGGGAATCAGGGGCGGAAAGGAGGAATGTGCTGTCACAGAATGGGTGAGCAATTAGGGTCTCATCACGAAGTATGTATAAAAATTTTGTATGGGAGACTAACTTGGAATGTAAACTTCATTTAATTACAACAATTTAAAAAAAAAGAAAAGGGAAGTAACTTGTCCAAGGTTGTTATTAGTCATCAGCTGGTAAGGCCCAGGGCTGCCAGATCTTCTGATCTCTTAAAAGAAGGATTTCATGTCAAATCTCATGATTTTTAAATGTCACAATTAATTCATTTTAAAAAAAAGAAAAACTGAGGAGGCTAAAAATGAAGCAGTCCTGGGACAGGAACAAAATTCCCCTTCCTGCCTTTGTACTGATCTACTGTCACTTAATGAAACTTCAGAAGGAGAACATCCTGAGAGAGGTATAAGCAAAGATGTTGATTTTAAGAAAGATGACAGGAAGGCTTAAGGCAGACTTAAGGTAAATCCAAACTACTCTAAAATAACAACAAAAAAAAAAAAAACCTTTTCCACACTAGAAGTGAATCCTTAATATTTTAATAGTCTATGCACGTTGCCAATTTAAATTAATACTCAGCATATAATCTAATCTCTTACAGTAAGAGCATGTCTGATTGTTCAGTTAACTTACCAAAACTCCACCCTAGGGGAGGCTCAATCTTCAGAATGAAATCTCCCTAAGAGGGGGAAAAAAATAAAATAAAATTTAAAGGAATGAAAACTGGTGACCCTTTTAGAATGTTCTCAAGGTAGAAAACCGGTTTTGTGAAAATTAATCTGCTGGGAGAGGTATAAAGATGGATTATGCGGTGGATGGGGGTGAAGCATTAGACTTGGGGAAGAAGCCATTTAGAAGCCATGGTAGTCACCCAGATGTGTGATGACAAGGACTTGAGCAAGGGTAGAAGCAAGAGGAATGGAAAGGAATGAATTTGTAAGACAAGGCAAAAAAAACATTTAATAAGACCTGGTGACTGATTAGATATGTTGGAAGACACCAATCTAGTTGCTCCATTTTTGTATACTTAAGTTCATCCAGAGAAAAGGCCAGAGAAAGAAACCCCTAAGAAGTGTCCTTGACCTGCAGAGAAACCTACCTGGAAGAGTTTCAGTCTGAGACTTATCCTGACCCCTTTTCACCCTGATCTACCTAGATCTGTAGCACTCCAAGTTCCGTGCTGTTCTGGGTAGTGGAAAAAGCATTGTTTTTGGAGTGGAATGGATCTAGGCAGGGATTTGAATCCTATATGGCCATTCTCAATATTGGAAGCCATTTAACGTTCCTATTGAGGTTGAGGAGCCCTGGTGGTACAGTGGTTAAGAGCTAGGGATGCTAACCAAAAGATCAGCAGTTCAAATCCACCAGCCACTCCTTGGAAACCCTATATGGTAGTTCTAGTCTGTCCTATAGGGTTGTTATGAGTCGGAATCGACTCGACAGCAATGAGTTTGGTTTGGTTTGGTTTACTGAGGTTGATCTGTCAAAGCCAGTGTGGTTCTCCATGTTGGTCGCTACCCCTGGGCCTGGAAACTAGGAAGGAGGGCAATGTTGGACTCATGGCATTAACCCCTTCCCTGGGCTCTCCTCAGCTTTTGTTGTGGGCCAGATCATAAGGCAGTCTGACCAGGGCCCAGAGCACTGGTAAAATGGCCTGGAATGATGAGGGAAGTTTGACCCTCTGGAGAGGTGGTAGGGTTCACCAACTGGTTCAATGCAGTAGGTAAGGTAAGTAGACCAAAAGCTCCCTCCCCACAAGATGAGGGCTGTAGCTGGGACAGGAAGTGATGTCACATAAACACTACACCAAGGTCATAGAAGCCTGCCTCTCCTCCCCTTTCCGTCTCCCATGTGCCAGCCTCCCCAGCCAGCTGACTCCCACATACCTGCACACACACATACAAAGGCTGGGAAGGGTCAGGCATCATCAGGACACTCTTAGGTACACAAAAGTGGTGGGGAAGAGGGACAAGTGGTGAAGATTTTTCAGTTTTTGGGCTCCACACTAGTATCCCTAGTGCTGGGAAGGAGAAATTGACGCTATAGCTGGAGTAGGTGGGAGGGACAGTGAGTGAGAAAGAGGAAAAGAGAACAGGGAGGAGGAGGTCTGTTCCCTTTGCTGATTCTGATTTTATTCTGATTTTTTCTTAACCCTCATCCCCACTCCTCCTCAATCCTCCCTTCCCCTCCTCCTTCGCCCCCCAGCCTGCCGCCCTACTGCCCTCCCCCACCGCGAGTTGACCATGGCGTCAGAAGCAGAGAAAACATTCCAACGGTTTGCTGTCTTTGGAGACTCATCAAGCAGTGGTACTGAAATGAACAACAAGAACTTCTCCAAGCTGTGCAAAGACTGTGGCATCATGGATGGCAAGATGGTCACCTCTACTGATGTGGACATTGTGTTTAGCAAAGTCAAGAACAAGAATGCCCGAACCATCACATTTGCACAGTTCCAGGAAGCAATGAAGGAGCTGGGCCAGAAACGATTCAAAGGGAAGAGCCCAGATGAAGCCCTGGAGAACATTTATAAACTCATGGAGGGCAAGGATCCAGCCACCACTGGCGTTACTAAAGCAACAACGGTGGGTGGAGTGGACCGGCTGACAGACACCAGCAAGTACACTGGCTCCCACAAGGAACGTTTTGATGAGAGTGGTAAAGGCAAGGGCCTTGCTGGACGGGAAGAGGTGAATGACAACTCAGGCTATGTGAGTGGCTACAAGGGTGCTGGCACCTACGATAAGGGGAACAAGTAGAAAGGACCCTCATCTTAGCCTGCCAGCCCCTGACCCTACACCTTCAACACGAGGTAGCATGGGAAACAATAAACATCTGTGTGTGCAACAAAAAAAAAAAGGTGACCCTTCAAATGGTTTAATTTAGTTTGATACGATCATTACATGTAAAATTTTTACACATGAAATGAAATTCCAAGAGCAGCTCTGTTCTTGTAAATGGTAGTGAGCTCCTTGGTTCCCTTTCACTGTTAACAAGCTGAAGCTAAATGCCAGAAGTTCCCGTTGAACCAACCAGCAGATACCACAATGAAGCCCGTGTGTGAGTAGACACTTTTCTCAACCACTCGTTGTCTTTTGATACCAAACATACTATTAATCAAGTCTCCCACTTACTCCTCACATGCCTAAGATTGCAAGAGTTAGCACGTATCTTTAGGAATTACGAGTCATTGTTAAAACTAGATATTTTAACCATCATCCCCTTATCAACCCCAGTATCTTGAGATGCATACTTACAGTGTTATTTTTTTTTTTTTAAATATTACAAGATCTGGCAAGTCCACCTCTAGATATCAATCCTATGTATTTTGCATAAAGATGTAAGTTCAAGAACATTTATTGCTGTGTTGTAATATTTTTTTTAACCTGAAAAAGCCCATACGTCCATCACCAGAGGAGTAGTTTAAATAAATTACCATTTTGACCTGACTCTGAAATGCTACACAGCCATTAGAAAGAAGGCAGTTGATCCCCACGTGCTGATGTCGAAAGCATACCAAGATATTACCAGAATGGGGAAAATCAAATTGCAGAAGAATTCCTATTGTACGATTCCATTTGTGTAACAAAATCAAAACGATGCTGACTATTGTTGCAACTTCCTGTAACTCTACAATTATTTCAAAATAAAAAGTGTCCTAAAGGGCTATGTATTTAGAAATGTGAGGACGGAGGCGTGCAAGTGGGGGTGTGCACGGACACACATCTCCGCACAAGCGTCTGTGTGTCGCGTGCATGTGTGTGCGTGTACACTTGTGGCTATCTATCTATAAACACAGAGCAGTTAGGATGCGTACTAAAACTTTTCTCAGAGATTATCACTCTAGAGGGAGGTGGAATCGGGGGGGAAGGTTAAAATGTACAAATTTACTTCATATACTTCTAAAGCACTTGATTTTTTCCACAAAGCTCGTGAACTCACACATTAGTTGTATAATTCTTCTGAATGTATTTAGGCTGCTTGCTAGTAAACGGTTCTACTCAATCAGGGTTTGGCATCCTTGACACTGTTGACATCTGGGCTGTCCTGAGTGTAGATGTTTAGCAGCATCCCTGGCCTCCACCCACTAGATGCCAGTGGCACTTCTTCCCCAGCTGTAACAACCAAAAATGTCTCTAGACTTTGCCAAGTGTCCCTGGAGACACTGAGAAACACTGTATTAGATCAGTTTTTAAGTTGTTTCCCTCAGAATACGGCCAGCATTCCTGTATTCTACTTACACTTTAGAAAACAGATGAGCCATCTGCTCATGTAGGAAAGCCATTCTCCTGGTGAGCCCAGCCCTGCAGACCACACCACTGCTCATCGTAAAAGACAAGTGATGAAGACTGACGCGCCCCCTCCCCTTACCTTATCATACAAGGGGATCATAAAGTAACCGTTGTTTGGGGCACAGTCTGTCTGGTATTTCAAAGTTCCATGCTTGGTGTACAACTTTATCTGGGAAGGAAGGAAAGAATAAAAGTCATCCTATTGCCACCGAGAGTTAACCACATTAAGACGAAATACATTCTGTCAACACACATTTGCTGAGAACATACTACATGTCGGCTATTCACACCAGGCATTAGGGACAGACAGAAATAAGACAAAGTGTCCCTAAAATAATGTGACCCAATGTTTTTCAGATGAGAAACCATGAGTCAGAATCGACTCGATGGCAATGGGTTCAGTTTTGGTTTTTTGGCAAAGCCTACTCCAAAAGCCGTATTTGTCAATACTTTTCAGTTTATTTTAATGGCTATCTCTATGTTGTTCATATAAGCATCTGGGTCTAAAATAGAAAATTTTAACTTTGTTGTGAGTGAAGTGATTATTAAAATTCAGATTCCTGGGCCTCACCTCCGTTCTCAACTAGAAAGTCTGGGTGGACGGCCAGGAATCTGCATTCTGAACCCCAGGTGATTCCACACACTTACAATAACACTCATCTAGAAACTTTTAATTTTCTATTTTACTTTCATTCTCAGGGTAAAAAACATCAAAAAGACAGTTATTATATGTCCTCTCCTCAAGGAGTCCGTAAGACTCTTACATCCTGAGCATTTCCAGATATGAACTGTTAACCCAAGAAGACACTCAAGTAGTATCTGGGTCTTCCACGTACTGTGTGACCTTGGGTGAATCATCTAACCTCTTCAGGTTCCATTTCTTCATCTGTACAAAGACAGCCACCTCCCCTTTACCGTGGCTGTGCATATTCACAGCAGTCCATCTTAAGCACCTGGCGCCAAGTGTGGGCTCAATAAAAAGTACCCTGAATTACTAGTTAACATCTCTCTGAAGAAAAAGGCAACATGGTGTAATTGAGTCAGAATCGACTCGATGGCAACGGGTTTGTTTTTTTGGTTTTTGGTGTAATTAGCTAGGCACAGAATGAATTCAAAGGAAGTTTCTTAAGCCTGCCTGCAAGGCTTAACCACTCTGAGCCTGTTTCTTCATGAGAAAAAGAAGCAGTTGGGTCTGATGACCTCTAAACCCCTCAACTCTAAAATGTGAATACTCTGAGACCATGAAACAGAAATGATAGGGTCAAGTGTTCTCAGAGACCCAGTCTTACCAGCTAAGATGTATAAAGCAACAAACTCACAAGGGGCACACTTGAGAAAGGAAAAGCATGAAATCCTGCAGAGACTGGAAGCCTCCCGGGGGCAGGGGCCACAGTTCACTCTCCTGTGTATGCTCCACAGTGCCTGTGACAGTGTCTTGTTTACTACAGGTACTCAATAAATATTTGATGTGTTTGTTTAAAGACCATAAAGAGATCTAGATGCATGCATTTCAAGCAGGGATTGAAAATGCATCTGCCTAGAGTGGAGTCCCTGTGTGATGCAAACGGTTAACATGCTCGGCTGCGAACTAAAGAAAGGCTGGAAGTTCAAATCCACCCAGAGGTGCCTCAGAAGAAAGGCTTGGTGATCTAGGGCTGAAAAATCAGCCACTGAAAACCCTACGGGCCGCAGTTCTACTCTGACACACATGGGGTTGCCATGAGTCAGAATGCACTGGATGGCAGCTGGTAGAGGGGCCAGGTAAGTAATGTCAGCAGGCATTCATCTAAAGGGAAGACAGATCACTACTCTATACTAGCCCAGAGAGCCTGAGTTTTCAAGAGACACCAGAAATCCATTTTTTTCAATGTGAAATCTCCTGATTGTTAAAGTACTGGCAACCGATGTAATTTTTCTTTTTAACAATACAGGCCATTGTTAAAGGATAGAACGTTAGTGCCATGAGGGTAGGGATTTTTGTCTGTTCTGTTCACTGCACTGCTATATCCCCACCTAGAACAACCCCAGACAAAAGCAGGGGCCCAATCCTTGCTGCTGACTGAAAATCACGTGAAATCAACCAGCAGGGAAGAAGGCTAGAAAAGAGTGAAGGTGTATTTGGATATAAAAAACACAGTCAAGAAATGATTGTGAAATATCTTCATTATTTACATTTCTGTCATAAAGTACAGATCAGGACAACAATACAAATCTACCTCAAGATTACAGATATGAAACGTCTGATTTCATAATCAGAAATTATGAAAGAATCAGTGTTTCAAACCATCTGGACAAAGCCAGAGGGCTCAAGGAACACACTTCACGATGGGTCACAAAACTGCTGTTATTGGGGTTACTATTAGTACTTGGGGGTGAGGGATAGTGTTCTCCTGCCTTCACCTTCCTCCAGGAATCCCAGCAAACTACAAGTTGCAAAAGGCAGCTTCTGAAACGCCTGGCACTCACATATCAGGAGGCGAACCCAGGAGGTGACATGGGCACCCAACAACATGTGCCCAGCAGATCCTAGGACTCCACCACTGCCAGCGGGTAGATTCATTAAACAGCCAACCTCTTAAGAGCAAAAAGGACAGAGGGGCAGCAGATGGAGAGGCCTTGAAGATGATAATCGGTTTTCTTCTTTAGGAAATATGTGGTGCTGGGTTCTGCTGCTTCTCTCCCAACATCCCCTGCACCATCCTACAGGTATGAAAACTGGGGCTCAAAGCAAGGCTAGGTCAAAGAGATAGTGGGGTGCAGGACCTACTTTCTAGCCCCCCTCCCCAATGCTCAGCAACGTGCTGTGCAGAACACACTGGTTCCAACCCTCACCACTGTAGCTGCTCAAATGAGCTTTCTCACCACCTTTGGGGGTCTCATTCCCCAGTCCCTTCTCTTCAGCAGCTCCCAGCCTCTTCGTTTTCCCTCAAAACACCTCCCAAGCACTTGTTCTTTGCTCTTCCATTTCTCTCAGCCTCTCTTGCTCATCATCAGGCCCCCAGAAGAGGCCTGCCCCACTCAGGTCCCATCCTGTCTACCTGGACAACCTGCTACCCCTACCTCCATCAATCCCCCTTCCGCCTCACAAAAGCTGTCTAACTGAATAGGACTTTACAAAGTAATAAAGACTTCTGCACACAGCTCTACAGTGTCTGTCCAGCCACCACCCAGTAAGGCAGTCAAGGCAGCTGACAACTCTCCATTTTCAGAGGAAAAGGAGTCCAGAGATGAAGGGGGTGGAGGGCATGTTGAAAATACAGATTCCCAGCCCTAGAGATTCCAACACAGGTTGACTAGGTCAGGCTCTCTAAAGTGGGAATAAATGTCTTTTAAAGGTACCCGGAGGGTTGGATGAGCAGTGCTTAGAACTCTGGGGGATTCTGGCATGGGGCCAGCACAAACCACTGTTAAAGAATAAAGTTGTCATCTCTAGTCTCTGGAATATGGGTTTTGGGAGATCTGACTTTCAGAGGAACTGAGGACTCTGTGTCCTGCGGCGACCGGGTTTTAAGAGATCTGGGATCTGGATTCTGGAGAGGGTCTTGGGTCTAGATTCTGTGGATCTGGAGTTCTGCTTTTGAAGACTCTCGGGTCTGGATTTGGGGGGACTCTCCATTTTGAGTGCTCTGATGAAAGTTGTGAGCCACTATCACCGTCATCCAAAAATGTCCTTCAAACCCTGTGCACATACGTTCAGCCCCCACCCCCACCCCATGGCTGACACCATGATAAGAACCTCCACTCCAGCGCGCCTGCGGAAGAGGCGGTGAAGAATCCGCAGAAAGCAGGGCCTTAAAAGAAAAGGAACGCGGGGCTGGTGGAAACCGCCTGGTGTTGGGGCAGAGGCCACCCTGGCCCAGAGAGGCTGAGCGACTAGCCCGGGGTCACACAGCGAGCCGGCCGAGCCGCGGGGCAGGCGCTCACCTCGATGAGCGAGTAGTTGATCTCCACGTCCGACTTGACGAAGCCCCCGCACCCCACCACGATATCCTCGGAGCCGCGCGCCGGCCCCACGCCACTCAGCAGCAGTACGACGGCGACCACCACGGGCCCCGGCGGCCCCACTCTCCCGCCCGCCAGCATGGCCCGGCCTCCGCCGCCCGACCCTCGGCAGGCCACCTGGTCCCGCCTCTCACGACGCACGCCACCAGCTCCTTCCTCCTCTTCGTGCCGCTGACAGCACAGGGCCCGCCCCCACTGCTGCGCAGGCGCGTTCCCACCCCACACCCATGCCCCCAGGAAAGATAACCACAGCGCATGCTCAGCGACAAAACGAGACCATTTGTGCTCTCTGCAGGCCTGGAGGACTCCGCACAACGTTTGGCCGGTGCAGCGCAAAATGTATGTGCACAGGAGCAAACTCCAAAGGTGAATTGTAATTTGCAAATCACTATCACCTAGCTGGAAAAGACGAGAGACATTGTTGACCAAAGTACCCAACAACTTTCCCAAATCTTTTTCACTCATGCATTTCACAGATGATATATAATCTTATAAACCCCTTTAGATATTAGTGTAAATTGGTGCATTCTCCCGTGGTAAGTGATCAATAAATGATGTAAACCAAAACATGTAATTTAAGTTTAACAGCATATGAAAGAAGGTGTTTAAAGTTTATTTTAATCTCAGCTCTAATAACATTTGTATAGAAATAAATTTCAGGGTTTTTTTCCTCCCATCAGCAAGATGTGCATACAGTTGAATTTACTTTGATTTGCCTACAAATAAGTTTAAATATAAGCATACTGTATTTTGCCCCAAGGATGAACGTATACTATAATGTAGACTGAATTAAACCACAAGTCATCACATCAAAATAGACAAATTAGCTTTTCTGCCCTGATATTTGGAATTCTTCCATTTTGCTCCTAAAAGAAAAAAAAAAGTGTTTTATTTTGATAGTTTTTATGTTTTGTTTCTAAATGATGAGGTAAGAAGATTCTCCACTGCGATTTGCTATTTGAGCTAAAACTTAAATATACTACTAGAAATAACAATGAGTTTAAGCTACACAATAATCAAAAATTTCACGGTGGTTTTATGTCATCAAACAATACATTGCCTGGAGGGTTTCAACCATGTGCACCCTTGATTTCAGTCTCTCACTCTGTATTCTCACTCAAAACAGCGAGACTCTCAACTGATCAGTTGTAAACAGAAACTATTTAAATTTTTATTTTATTTACTGAGGTTTGTTATTTATAACCAAGGGAGCCCTGGTGGAGTAGTGGTTAAGAGCTCGGCTGCTAACTGAAAGGTTGGCGGTTCGAACCCACCAGTCACTCCACAGGAGAAACATGTGACAGCCCGCTTCCATAAAGATTTACAGCCTTAGAAGCCCTATGGGGCGGTTCTACTCTGTCCTATAGGGTCGTTATGAGTCGGAATTGACTCAACAGCAACAGGTTTTTGTTTTTGTTTTATTTATAACTAAAGTGGAAACAGATGCCTTTTTTTTACTCTCCTGAGCCTGAATCCCTGGTTTGTCTTAGCAAACAAGTAGGGCATTGAATGAGGAAAGGCTGGCCTACGGAACCTTCTCTTCTTTCAGAGAGAGGAAAGGCACTTGTCGAGGGCTCTCTACACGCAGCCAACTGCTGTTCAGAGTAGAAACTAGGAATCAGGATCTCTGCGTCCAGTTCTTGGCTCACCCCAAATGATTTCCTGTGTTCTCCCTGACTTCTTTTTTTAAATTATGCATTAGGTGAAAGTTCACAGAGCATATTAGTTTCCCATTCGGTAGTTTGTACATAAAGCACTCTCCCCATTTCCATCCTAGTTTCCCCATTTCCAGTCATCCTGATTTTTTACCCCTTCCTGCCTTCTCATTTTTGCTTTTGGGCAAATGTTGCCCTTTTGATCTCCCATAATTGATTATTCTAAGGAGCATGTTCCTCTCGGGTGTTATTGTTTATTTTATGGGCCTGTCTGTGGTTTGGCTGGAAGGTGGTCTCAAGGAATGGCTTCAGTTCTAATTCAGAAGGGTGTCTTGGGGCCATAGTCTCGGAGGTTCCTCTAGTCTCTGTTAAACCAGTAAGTCTAGTCTTTTTTGTGGATTTGTTTTTTTGTTCTACAATTTTTCTCCCACTTGGTCCAGTACCCTCTGCTGTGATCCCAGTCAGAGGGGTCTGTAGTGGTAGCCAGGCACCATCATTCTGGTCTTGGGGTTGTGTAGGCTGTGGTTCATGTGGTCCATTAGTCCTTTGGACTAATTGCTCCCTTGAGTCTTTGGTTTTCTTCACTCTCCTTTGCTCTGGATGGTAAGAGACCAATCGTTGTTATCTTAGATGGCCGCTTACAAGCTTTTAAGACCCCAGACACTACTCACCAAAGTAGGATGCAGAACTTTGTCTTTACGAACTATGTTGTGCCAATTGACATAGATGTCCCCTGAGTTCTTCCTGACTTCTTGACCAAAAAACCTGTTGCCATCAAGACAATTCTGATTCATAGTGACCCTATAAGACAGACTAGAACTGCCCCCATATGGTTTCCAAGGCTGTAAATCTTTACAGAAGCAGACTGCCACATCTTTCTCCTTTGGAGTGGCTGGTGGGTTCAAACCACGGAACTTTAGGTTAGCAGCCGAGTGCTTAACCACTGTGCCACCAGGGCTCCTTGTGCAGAGTGCAGAGAGATGTAATTCTTCACCAGAGTTGAGCGCTTGGGCTTGTCTGTCTGAAAAAGCTGCAGTTTTCATTGCTGTCTTGAAAGGATTGCATACTCATTGCAGAAAGGCAGAAAATAGAAGAATACAAAGAAGAAAATTAGGATAATCCATGATCCTGGCTTCAGTGCATTTCCTTCTTTTTGCTTATGCAGGCATATTTCATAGTCTTTTCCAAAAAGGACTGGTGCCCAGGGACACTGACACAGTGTACACACTTTGCTTTAAGACCCAGGGAAGGAAGGTAAATGATTTGACTTCCTTTTCTACTTTCCCTAATTTAGGCATGTACTGTTTGTTTTTTTTTACAAAAAGGCTATAATAGCTGTCTTAGTTATCTAGGGCTGCTATAACAGAAATACCACAAGTGGATGGCTTTAACAAACAGAAATTTATTCTCTCATGGTCTAATAGGCTAGAAGTCCAATTTGAGGGTGCCAGCTCCAGGGGAAGGATTTCTGTCTCTGTCAGCTCTAAAAGAAGGTCCTTGTCATCGATCGTCCCCTGGTCTAGGTCCTTCTCAGTGCAGGGACCCCGGGTCCAAAGACACACGCTGCTCCTGGCGTTACTTTCTTGATAGTATGAGGTCCCCTGTCTTTCTGCTCACTTCTCTCTTTTATATCGCAAAAAGAGATTGACTCAAAATACAACCTAATCCTGTAAAGTCCTGCCTGATTAACATAACTGCCTCTAATCCTGCCTCATTAACATTATAGAGGTAGGATTTGCAACACATAGGAAAATCATATCAGATGACAAAATGGTGGACAATCACACAATACTGGGAATCATGGACTAGTCAAGTAGACACACATTTTGGGGGGACACAATTCAATCCATAACAATAGCCTATTCAGTATTATAAACTCTTCTTTCGTTTGGCATTTAGCAGCCATCTTTCCACAATAATATATTTCTGCAATGGCATTATAAACCACTGCTGAGTCATCTATGGGTGAAATAATAATATTTTAAAGAATACAACCCCCCCCCCCAAAAAAAAGAACAAACCCATTGCCGTGGAGTCGATTCTGACTCATAGTGACCCTACAGGACAGAGTGGAACTGCCCCATAGGGTTTCCTAGGCTGTAATCTTTACAGAAGCAGATCGCCAGGTCTTTATCCCCCTGGGTGGGTTTGAACCTCCAACCTTTCAATTATCAGCCAATCTCTTAACCATTGCGCAACAAGGTTCCTCTAATTCTAGTAATAAACTGGTTGTAGTCCAGTTGGACTCGTAAGGACCGTAGAGGACAGAGTAGAACTGCCCATAGGATTTCCTAAGCTGTAGTGTTTATACCGAGGAGCCCTGGTGGCACAGTGGTTAAGCATTGGGCTGTTAATCAAAAGGTCGGCTGTTTGAATCCTCCAGCCGCTCCTTCTACTCCGCCCTGCTGGGTCGCTGTGCTTCAGAACGCACTGTACTGCAGCAGGTAATCTCTACCTAAACAGATTGCCACATCTTTCTCCACAGAGCGGCTGGTGGGTTCTAACAGCTGACAGGGTGCTTAACCACTGCGCCACCAGGGCCCCTAATTCTAATAATAGCTAACTCTTATTGTGTGCCTGGCACTGTGCTAAACGCTTATTATCTTAAATGCTTTCCGCCACCCTAGAGACAACGTCCTTCCCATGATTGAGGGAACTGTCCCTCTAACCACAGCCTCCCTCCTTAACCAGGCCGTCCTCTGTTGTTGGATACTTAGGTTATTGCCATGTTTTCTCATTATAAACATTTGCATGGGTTCATTCATCAGGATACATTTTTAGAAGTGGAATTGCTGGGTCCGAAGTGTTCCAGAAGTTTGGGACGATACTTGTTGCGACGGATGGGGTAAATGGAGAGCCACTGCACTTCCTGAGGTTCCGAGGTTCCTCCCTCCTTCCCTGGCGGCTGCTTGGGCCTCCCAGAGCGCCCCCTCCACCTCGCCCGGTTTCACGCCTTCTCGCCCCACCCACGCCGCACGGACGGACCTTGCCCCGGGCCTGCAGATCCCGGAGGTCGAATCCCGACCAGGCCTGCCCGGCCCCGCCCCTTGCGGCCCTGCAGGCTGCCCAGGGGCGGACAGATACACCAACGGACAGACGGACCTGATGGCCGCCCCTGTAGAGTCCTGTGCGGGGCCGGGGGTGAGTGTCCCCACTCTCTGCCCACTGTCCTTTTCCCCACCACTCTCCTTTTCCCCACCGAGACTGAGGAGGGGAGAGAACCCAGCTCCCCAGTCTGAGAAGCGAGACCTGCTCTGCCCCTTCCCCACACCCCAGCCCCAAGACGACAGGGGAGGCGGCCCCTTTGACCAAGCACGGTTAAAGGAGCCTCGAGACCTCCCAGCTTCTAAGGACAGTGACTCCTCATTTACCTAAGGCTAGTGCCCCCCCTCCAGGCCCCACCCACCCACCTCCAAAGAGCCCTTTCCGGTCGCATGGAGCCCCTATCTGTCTGGTTTCCCGTCTCATCCCAGACTCTTAGCAAAGAGTTCCAGGGAATGGAGGTGATAAACCAACACCCGTTGCCGTCCAGTCGATACCAACTCATAGCTGACCCTATAAGACAGTGGAGCTGCCCCGTAGGGTTTCCAAGGAGCAGCTGGTGGATTCCAACTGGCGACCTTTTAGTTAGCAGCTGTAGCGCCACCAGGGCTTCAGTGGAGGTGGCGGGGGGAAGGGGATAATAAGAGAATCTACTTCACAGGACTTTTGGAGCTAGGTGGATAAATAAATAACAATAAATCAAAAATCAAATCCATTGCTGTCCAGTCGACTCGGACTCATGGTGACCTTGTATATGTTAGAGTAGAACAGCACTGCATGGGATTTTCAAGGCTGTGACCTTTCTGAAGCAGATCTCCAGGCCTTTCTTCTGAGGTGCTTCCTGGTGGGTTCGAATAAACCTTGAAGTTAGTAGTCAGGTGCTTAAATGTTCATTGAGGGCTTCCTGGTGCCCAGTATGTATTCTGGGTTTTACTGGTATTAGCCCATTTAATACAATCTTATCCCCCTTTTGCAAAGAAAGAGACTGAGGCACAGAGAAGTTGAAGATCACACAGCTGGTGAGTGGCAAGGCTGAGAGGAGTGCGTGCAGGGGGTGGTGTAAGACAGTAGAGAGAATTAAAGGGCCCATGTCCTCAACACTTCACAGTCAAATTTATTCTAGGGTAGAGAGGGCAGCAGAGGGGGTGAGGTAAAAGTCACAGATCAAGACCCCATAAAACAAGCTTTGGGGTCAGAAGGGCCTGCCTGGGAGTCAGCTCTGCCACTTCTATTTGTGTGGACCTAAAGGAGGTGGGGATACCCTGGTGGCACAGTGGTTAAGAGCTACGGCTGCTAACCAAAAGGTTGGCAGTTCAAATCCACCAGGCCCTCCTTGGGAACCCTATGGGGCAGTTCTACTCTGTCATATAAGGTCCCTATGAGTCAGAATCGACTCGAAGCCAACAGGTTTGGTTTTTTGGGTTTTAAAGGAGGTGGTTCCCGTTTCTGTGCCTCAGTTTCCTTGTCTGTAAAATGGAGACAGTAGCTCCTACCTCCTAGAGTTGGTATAAGGATTAAACTGACAGTGTATGCCTAGCATTCATCAGGACTCAACCACCTGGGTTCAAATCCTAGCGCTGCCAGTTTCCAGCAGAGTGTTGCTGGGCAAGTTCCTCAACCTTTCTGGGCCTCAGGTTTCTCATCTGCAAAATTAGGATGAAAATTGCATCTGCTTCAGAGATTGGCACATTTTCACATAAATGTTCGGTGTCCAAAAGTTGCAGGTGAGTTTGTGACTCCCTGTATTTCCTCAGGTCTGGAACCAGACGAAGCCCAAGCCTGCCGCTGCCCACCTGCTGAACCTATGCTTCCTGAGAACGGTGGGGGTCTGGGTGCCCCCCATGTACCTCTGGGTCCTCGGCCCCATCTACCTCCTCTACATCCACCGGCATGGCAGGGGCTACCTCCGGATGTCCCCTCTCTTCAAGGCCAGAATGGTAGCTGTCACCACTGGGACCCTGGAACCAATGGGGAGGAGGGGACAGGTGGAAATCCCAAAGTGGATGCTCCTGTCAAGTGATAGGGTGGGGACAAGAGGGGAACCTGTTAACCAACCAGAGAGCAATACCCCAGGGGCCACAGGGAAAACTCTGTAGAACAAGGTTCTCCCAAACAGATGTTGTAATTATGAAAGTTCATTCATACCCCAGAAGACATGAACACACATGGGAAGCTCACATGGTCCTGGACAGTTTACAGCTGCCGTCACCTGGCATCTCCCAAAGTGTGGAACATGTACTCCTGGGGTACACAAGATGGTTTTAGGGCTGCACTGGGATGAAGCTTTTTAAAATTTTAACAATTTATTTTAATGTTTCTCCTCTGGCAGTACCGCAGAACTATCATTTAAATTGTTATATATTTATTTTAAAGGAGCCCTGGTAGCACAATGGTTAAGCTTTTGGCTGCTAACCAAAAGGTCAGTAGTTCAACCCTACCCAGTTACTCTGCGGGAGAAAGACCTGGTTATTGGCTTCCATGAAGATTAACCAAAAGCAAACCAAACCTGTTGCCATTGAGTCAATTCCGACTCATAGCGGCCCTATAGGACAGAGTAGAACTGCCCCCATGGGGTTTCCAAGGAGCAGCTGGTGGATTTGAACTGCCAACCTTTTGGTTAGCAGCCAAGCTCTTAACCACTGTGCTACCAGGGCTCCCTTGTAAAGATTATAGTGTAGGAAACCCTATTGAGTAGTTCTGCTCTGTCACATAGGGTCTCTATGAGTTGGAATTGACTCGACGGCAATGAGTTTGGTTGGTTTGGGTATCCAGGGATCTGCAAACTTTTTCTTAAGGGGCTAAACCTGGTTGCCATCGAGTTGATTCCAAGTCATAGGAACCCTATAGGGCAGAGTAGAACTGCTCCATAGGGTTTCCAAGGCTGTAGTCTTTACAGAAGCAGACTGCCACATCTTTCTCCTGCAGAACGGCTGGTGGGTTGGAACCACTGACCTTTCAGTTTGTGACCCTACAGTTAGCAGCCAAGCACTTAACCACTGTGCCACCAGGACTTCTTTGGATTTTTAATAGTTCCTGTCATGTGCCTTGCTCTGGCCTTCTCTCCCCTGTGTGCACACTCTCTTTCTCCCTCTCGTTCAAAAGAGAGATCAGCATGTTTCAAAGAGGGGTTTAAAGACATGCTGGTCCCAGCTTTCTCCTTGATTTAATGATGGGGTGAAAGAGACTTGAAAAGGGTATAACTTTTCACCCCGTGAGTCAATTTCATCTCAGGGTGCTTCTCATACCTAAAGTCATCTTGCTTAGGCACTGTTGAGGCACCTCCTGCATTTTGGAAAATACTGAGTTGACTTGGGCCCTTGTGTCAGAAACGATCTGCAACCTCCTCTACCCATTTTCTGATGCATTCTTCACGCTGGCACTGTGAAATTATGACATTGATCTGTTCCACGGCCCCGCCCTGGAAGCTGCAGAGCCACGGCCCAGTTGGATGTGGGCCACCGTCCAGATGCCGCCATCTTTCTTTTACCTACCAGCCTTATCTGAGCCTGTCTCCCCAGGTGCTCGGGTCCACCCTGCTAGTCCTGTACACCTCCAGTGTGGCTGTCTCACTTTGGAAAATCCAGCGAAGAATGCCCCAGGCCTTGGAATTTCTAATTCACCCCACCGTGTGGCTCGCCACCACGGTAAAGCCGTTCCCAATCTGGAGCCTGGCTTTCCCAGGCTGCTGCTTTTCCAGCCCTGGGGGACGGTGATGGGGAGGATGGAGCCAAGCGCCCTCCCCACTTCCTGCCTTAAGGGGACTTTCCTGACTTTCTCGTCTAGAGCTTCGCCCTGTTCATTATCCACGTGGAGAGGAAGAAGGGGGTCCAGGCTTCTGGGGTGCTGTTCGGGTACTGGCTGCTCTGCTGCCTCTTGCCGGCCACCAGCGCTGCCCAGCAGGCCTCACAAGGGGTAAGTGGGGGCCTGGGCCACCTGGGGAAACCAATATGGTGGTGTCAGGCCTTGGGTCCCATCTTTCCTCATTTCTTTCCACACAAAACTTATTCTCTCTACACACACACACAAACACACACACACACTGCAGTCACTTACACTCTAAACCCAAAAAACCCAAACTCATTGCTGTCGAGTCAATTCTGACTCATAGCAACCCTATAGTGGTGGATTTGAACTGCTGACCTTTTGGTTAGCAGCCTGAGCTTCTGGGCTCCCTAGAGAAACACAAATGCACTCCTTCATGTGTAAGTACTATATTAATCAGGCTTCTCCCGAGAAACAGAACCAACAGGAGCTATATATAAAACCAGAAGCCAAACCAGTTGCCAACACGTGGATTCCAACTCATGGCGACCCCATGTGTTCCAGAGTAGAACTGTGCTCCATAGGGTTTTCAATAGCTGTGACCTTTCGGAAGTAGATATGCCAGGCCTTTCTTCCAAGGTTAATAGCCAAGTGCTTAACTGTTTACACCACACAGGAACTCTGGAGAGATGTGTGTGTCTGTGTATGTGTGTATATATAGAAAGAGAGATTTTAAGGAATTGGCTTACGCATTCTTGGGGGCTGACAAATCCAAAATCCGTAGACCAGGTGGCAGGCTGCGACCTCCCACAGGATGTCTGTTACAGTCTTGAGGCAGAATCCTTTTCCCTTCAAGAAACCTTAGTTTTTGCTCTTAAGGCCTTCAACTGATTGGGTGAGACCCACTCACATATGGAAGGTAATACATTTTACTTAAACTCAACTGATTGTAAATGTTAATCCTATCTAAATATCTTCATAGCAACATCTAGACTACTATTTGACAAAACAACTAGGCACCAGAGCCTAGCCAAGCTGACACATAAAATTAATCATCACAAGTACCTATCATCCCACACATTTTTTATCTACATGAATACCCATTGTCTCACCCACATCACACACTTCACTTGCACGCCAGACACACACGTATGCCTTCATTCATGCATCACACAAGCACAGATACCCACATGATTGCTTCAAGCAACAAAAACATAGCTCACATTAGCTTAAGCACTGAGAAAAATAGGAGGGAATTTATTTGTTCATGCATGTGGAGTCTCCAGGGGGAATTCAGGCATAGCTGGATCCAGGTGTTCGAATGGCACTATTATATTGCTGTTTCTCTCTGTCTCTCGGCTCTGCTTTTCTCTGTGTTAGCTTCATTTTCCAATGAGGTGGCAAGAAGGGCCACCAGTAACTCCAGATTTGTGTTCTACCAATGCAGCAAACCCAGGGGAAGGATCTTATTGGCCAAGCTAATGTTCTATGTTCATACCTAAATCAATCACAGTTGCCAGGGATCTAGAATATACTCAGGGGCCAAGCCTGGGTCACCTGCTGCCCCTTGGAGTGGAATCAGTTCCCCATGAACCACATACCTAAAGATGGGGAAGGAAAATTAGGTGCTATCTCCAGACAAAGGGGCAGTGATGCCAGGCAGGCAAAAGCAACCGTGGCATTGCAGCAAAAGCTCATGATTTGGGTCAAATAATCTGTGTGCCCTTGAGCAGGGTGTGACCACTTCTCCAAGCCTTGGTTTCCCCATTAGTAAAATGGAGCAGTAAACCCCAGCTGGGGCCAGGGGGCGGGGTGGGGAGGGACTTGATGGGACAGTGCTTGTAAAGGCCCTTGGATGTGCTCAGGGCAGAGTCATTGCTCAATCAGACCAGCCCCCTTCTCTGTAAACCAGAGAACACTGGCCAAGGAGACACTGGGATGGGAGACTGGGGTGGGGCCTGGAATGGAATAAGGATTCCCTTTGTGGCATAAGGATTCCCTTTGTGGCATAAGGAGAAAGGCGAAGTGTCCCTTCAACTCATGTGCAAGTGGCTGTGGGCAAATCCCAGAAATGGCTCTGGCTCACTGTTTGTATGTACAGAACGTATGTAAGTCAGGTGTTTGTGAATCTGACACCCAGGAATGCCGAGAGACTGGTTTTTGAAGCCCGTGACCCTGCCTCGGTAGCATTCCCAGCTGCAGAAGTCCTCTTCAGCCTCGACCTTTTCTCCCCTTATGGGCACCCTCTCCAACCTCCGCTACTACGAGCCCAGCAGGCCGGCTTCTACCTGCCCAGACTCAGTGGGACTTCTGCTTTCTCTCCCACAGGGCTTCCAGAGTGACCCTTTCCGCCACCTGTCGACTTACCTGTGTTTGACTCTAGTTGTGGCGCAGTTTGTGCTGTCCTGCCTGGCGGATCAACCCCCCTTCTTTCCTAAAGACCCCCAGCAGTCTGTAAGTCACCAGGTCTCCAACCCAGTGCCTCCCTTGTCCCTGCTCCAATTCAGATCTCTGTCTCCCCATGTGACCTAAGGGACTTGAACTAGAATGTTGGTTTTGAATTTTTAATTCATTCAGTCATTCAGCCAAATGGGTATTGAATGTTTACTTTATGCCAGGGATTGGCCAACTTTTCCTGTACGGGGCTAGATAGTAAATATTTTAGGCTATGGGGGCCAGGTGGTCTCTGTGGCTACAACTCAACTCTGCCGTTGTAGAACAAAAGCAGCCATAGACAATATGTAAACAAATGAGCATAGCCGTGTTCCAGTAAAACTTTATTTGCAGAAACAGGCAGTGGGCCGGATTTGGCCCATGAGCTGTAGTTTGCTGACCCCTGCTCCATGCCCCAGCTAGGTGCTGAGGGTTCTATGGTGACCAAGCAGATGTAGCCCCTGCCCTCATGCAGCTGACAGTTAAGTAGGGGAGCCAGACATTAATCACGTAATTACACAACTACGTGGAAAATTACAACCAGGGTAAGTGCTCTGAAAGAGACGTTCAGGGTCCACAAGAGTGAACAACAGGTAACCGTGACCTGGTCTGAGAAGTTAGAAAAGGCTTTCTGAGGAAAAGTTGATCTGAGATCATATAAAAAAATGTTCAACTGCTCAAGTAATTGAATTAAAATTATAATGGGGCTGGCTTCACTGGAGAATTCTACAAAACATTTACAGAAGAGCTTGTACCAGTACTACTCAAGCTATTTCAGAGCATAGAAGAGGAAGCAACACTTCC